AATGTTCGAAAAAATAATAATATTAGGTTTATGAAACTTGGAAAATGTATGTGCAACTATAAATTCCACACTTTCATGTATGCAGAGTGGCTTGACAGATTCGGGGATTTGTATACAAAAATGTAAACTAATTCTAGATATTTCAAAAAGAAATTTTTAAACTCAGATTATCAAGGTATAATTCAAGGCATGGTATAATTCGGTTTATACCGATTGAAAAGTTTTTACTTCTTTTTATTTTAAATTTCGCTTTTTTAATTCATTTTAATTCGGTAGGTACTGAAAATTAGAATAAATTTTTAGGTAGCAAAATTATTTATACGCAAATCAATTGAAAATATGTATATTTTCAAAGAAGGGAGAAAATTTAAATATAATAGGATAAAATATGAATGGTAATAAATAAATAAAAATTGTGCATGTGTTTTGGTATAAAATTTTAAATAATTACATTTTTAGAACATTGTACAAAGAGATGTAAGCATGACTATTGTACGGATTTTATTTTAACTTTTCAAACCGATACACGTTATATACTATATTTATTGATGCTTACTTACCATTATTACTTTTATTAGTACCATTAATACACTACTAGTAAAAGTAAAATATTATTATTAAAATGTGCCACTGGTTTAACTTTTTTTTTATTTATACTTATAGTTTTAAATATAAAATTAAAGCATAATTTGACACGAATTTTCTTTTCGATTTCTTTGAAAACCCTTCAGTTTCCAAGATTTTATAGAAAAAATTACAAACATATAAAATCTTTAAAAAAACATAAAATCAACAATGAAAAAAAGCACCTTATTCAAGCACAAAAAAATCAACAAATTCAATGAACCTTTTGAAAGTAAAATTCGAACATTTTTTTGCCAAGATCTAAGTCAGATCACGTCCTATAAAAAATAGGAAAAAAATACCGATATACATAATTATCCATTTTAAATGTAAAAGTATGAATAAGTATGTTATTATTTCTATATAGGAATATATAAACATATTTGATTTTTTGCACAAAAAAGTGAAATCGTAAAAATTAATCTTTAAATTTCGTTTAAATATTGTAAAAAGTATAACAGCAATAAATACGCTAACCACAAACCAAAGTATCATTTGTTATTGGCTCATGTATTTTAATTTTGTTTTTTTTTTTCAAAACTGCTTTCCTTAATTGTAATTTTATACATATGTATGTATATATAAAACATATAACGTAGCATACATTAAATTTAGTTTTCAAAACCTCAAATTAATTTGTAAAAGCTCAAATCTCTAAAGAAAGTCATAATATCTTTTTATATCTTTGAAATATACATATATGTACATATATTAAATTACCTTTTTTTGAACATACGGACAATATTTTGAGAGTAAATATATTTACATGTTTGTATATACTATATACCTAGATATACTATGTACCTACACACCCATATGAAATATTTTTACAATTTAAAATGCAAATTGACCTGATTTTTGAATATTTTATCTTAAAACTATAAGGTATATGTGTATATGCATGTAAAGTAAAAAATTTCATCCGTGTTTAAAAAAAGTCATTCTGTCTCCCTTATAATAATTTCGAACTGATTAAGAATATTAAAAAAAGATATTTTAATTATCGTTTTTCTATACAAGTATAAAGTGAACAAAAGTTTAGGAGGAATATAATCAGTAAACACTTTATTAATTATGTAATTAACTGAAAAAACTCAGCTGGTATTTAAAAACATTCATACATTTACACGATAGAATGGTTCCCGAGAAATTCGTGTAAAAAAAATCGTCTAAAAAAAGATACTGGCTAAGTACAAAAATAATACATTGGTTCTAGACCTCAAAAAAAAAGATAAAAATACACTAAATTATATAAAAAAAATTATTGTTGTAGTTATTTTTAGAATTTATTTTCGTTTTAATTCATTAAATAAAATAAATTATAATAAAATAAATTAAAATATAAATTTTAGAAAAAAATATGTACATATTATATCAGAAATTCATTGATAAAAAACTTAAATAACAAGAGTACAATCATAACAAAAATTTAAACATTAAGCAATTTTATTTATTGTCACTGTCTGATAATAAACGCATATGTTTGCGAAAGACAAAATTACTGCCATCACTGGAAACAGTTCAATTGTATATTATTGTCGTTTCGTAATCATAATTATTCGAACAGTTGCTGTTACTTCTTGGTTCAATCAGGCTTATTTTAAGTAGAAAAATTTTTTTTGTATTCGTGTTGTTTCAAATTATGTCGTGTTAAAATAGAAATATTTTTTGGTGTTTACTCGTGTTATTTCAAATTCGTGTAAAAATAATTCGCGTAAAAACAGAATTGGGTGTACATTATATCGTTTATTTTAGGGCGACCATTTCTCCTCTTTTTTCCTAAAATACTATTTTCTGTATCATATGGTGTATATTGTAATTTTGCATTATCATTTGTGTTTGCGTTTTAAAAACATATTACAGAACGAATCAATAGCACCAGAATGGCGATACAATGGCACATGTGCCAAAATGGGCACGTCTCCAATTTTCTATGACACGTAAAAAGTTTTTAACTTTTTTAATACATATGTTAGATACTTCATTTACAAATTAAGAAAATTAAAAAATTTTTTTTTTACCTAAAAGAATTTTATATAAAATGTCCTAAATGTCTTCAACACAATTTAAAAATTAAGTTTTTTCTTTACCTTTAAGTGCATTTTTAATTACGGAACACCAAATAGTATTTATATTTTACAAAATATAATTCTCAAATAGAGACCCAAATAGTTTATAATTCCTTCAAAATTTAGAAATAATGAAATTTGGTTATAACGAAATGATTTTGATTTCTGTAGATCTGTAAATATATCAGAAATAAATTCGTTTTATTTTTTTTTCCAAAACTGTCGAAATTACGTCGAATTTTCAACTCGATTCTATATCTAAAAAAAAGGGATTAGAAACAAAATCAAAGAGAAAATATTGATATGACGTGGGATCGGCTTTGTTTCCAAAAATTCGGAATTTAAATTTTATTTCCATATGTCGGAAAAGTCAGTTTCGGATTCTACTTTAGTATTTTTTTCATATCGACTTTATTTCTAGTTACTTTTTTTGAAATAAAGTCGATTGGACTTTTTTTGAAATAAAGTCGATTGGACTTTTTTTCGGTGAACCTATGTATTTAAAAAAAGGATGAATTTTATCCATTTTAAGGAAATATTTACTAAAATTTTCACTGAAACGCTTGGCACATTTGAAAGTCAATTTATATTTTTTTTTTTAATTTGGCATAAATGTTCATCATCATTGTCACCTAGGCCGTAGTTTAATTCAAATCCAGCTATTGTGTTAGCATCAAGAAAACCCTGGCATATTTTCGCGGTCCAAATTTTCCGTTTTTATAACTTTTTATAAATCATAAAAAAACAGTGGATTATAAAATGAAATATTTTTTTACAAGTGGAATTCTGTAACATATTTTTTGTGCAAAATTAGCATATTTTTTCAGACTATTTTGGCAACACTGGTCCTAACGTTAATCTTATCACTTTTTTGCGCATTCGATTTCTGCGCTTAATGTTTTAGTTTTATTTTTTGCAGATCAAATTTTGGTCTCCCAAATATATTTTTTTTATTCATATGTTTATGTCCGTAATTTACTAGACACACACGAATATTGTAACACGGAAAAATTATTTATTCTTTAAATATTTTAATATTTTTTCTATATGAATATTGGAAACAAAAGTAGCCCGGTTATAAAAACTAAAAAATCATCAACAACAACCATAAGATATGAAAAAGTTTCAGTTAAAGTTTTTTGGTAGATAATTCCATTTAACAAGCAAGTGTTCTCACTTTTATCGTTTATACTAAAGTTTCACAAACGACATATTTACAACTAATAATAATTATAATTTAATTTTTTTAGTCTTATGAAAATTAGTAAAAATTTATTTTTGATTGCTTTTATTTTAAAGTGGTTTTCTGCATAATTATATTTACAATTCTTGTCAAAATCAAATATTATAATATGGTTGAATCTCTAATTTCCTACTACACAACTCTAAGTATACAACATATAAGTTCTTTATAATCAAAGATAGTAGGTAATAATATTTTGGAACAGAATTTGAAGTGCAACTAGAATTTATGCAATAACTTTGCATATGTAATGCAAAGTTATTACATGTACACTTCAACATATTTATTCACCAGCATTATAAAGGAAATGTAAAATTTACAATACCTTTTGAAAACTATGTTCGTCCGGGAATAAATTCAACAAAATATAGAATATAATTATACTCTCATGGGTATATTATTTTATACGTTTACACCATATTCATTCATATATATATATACGTACAAGAATATACACAACACATTATAGTTATTTAGTGTTTCACTATTGTTATTTCTGGTTTGAAAATTCGAATATACAATCATTGTGTTTACAGTTCTTTAACATGAGTTTTTACATAAAATTAATTCTTGCACTATGTTTTAATTATGTACATAAATAATATAATTTTAACATGTGATTTAAATGTATGTATGTGTATAATGTACATTAACTTTAGCGTAAAACGATTTCAATATTTTCTGACGACAATCAAATATAGTTTAAAACAAACACTTATTAATCGGATTAATTTACTTAACTGTTCGTATAAATAAATCTACAATTGAGTGAATAGGTAAATAAAGATATGTATGCATATGATTGTAAGCTATGAAAAAAACGAATAAAAAAAAATATTGAATAATTCAAAGTAATAATGAGAGCATAAAAATATGCTTACACATGAAATGAAGAAAAAATTTTATAATATTTAACATTATATTGATATTACATCCTGTTTACTTCTCTTCTATAAAAATTTAGAAAAATTTTTAAAATAAAAGATTTTTTAAAAGTCAAAAATACTCATATTATTTATATTGTATCGTAATGTACTTATATAAAAAAAAACTTTCTTTTTCAGGTATTTTTAATAATATTGTCACTCGTCAGCTATTCAAATTGCGCTGGAATGCTGAGGCGAACACCAAAAGTGTATAATGCTTTAATAACAACAGATGAAAATTTAACACCCAGCAGAGCATTTCCCGTTATCCAACCTACAATACATGAAACTGGCATAGCACACTACCCATATGGTCCTTATAATCCATACAGGATATATCATCCACCTATAGTACATCTAAATTCTCCTTTTGAATCTCGAGAAACAGAATCTTTTCTCCAACATCATCATCATCATCTTCATCCACAAGGCCCACCTTATGAAAGTTTGACTCCACCTACAGGTCCTTATCACCAAATTGACGGTTCCCCATATGAAACAAATCAAATTGGATCTCTACATGCGCAACAACCTCCATTACAAATGCAGCCGGCTCAGGTTACTAAAATTTCAAAATATTTATGAAAATTATTGTGCATGTATCGTGTTCGGTTTCTATAAATTTTATATTATTAAATTTCTTTTAGATACCACAACCTCCACCACCACCACCTCAACAACAAAACAAACATCATTTAGGCCCGATTCCTCAACAAGGTTACCCAAGATTATACCCCCAACAATCGCAACTTCCTCAATTAGAATCAAATTTATCCGAAATTGAACAAAAACAAGATCAGCTACCCGTAATACCAGCTCAATCAAATGAAAAACCATCACCGCCTAGTCCACAACAGCCTCCTATACCTTTGAATGAATTCGGTCTACCACCAAGCTTAATACCACTACAAACATATCAGCCACATAATCCACAATTACCACCATATACATTTAGTACTTATCCACTAATATATGACCAATTTAATCATTATCATCCTGGACAAGATCATTATTTACCACATTTCGATTATTACCCACCTCATTCATATGGAATACCAATTCATCGACCTGGTAAAAATCGACCAAAAAATCCGTCAACTTCAACATCAACTCCATCAACTGCAGTAAACGATATTGACCCAATTTTAAATAGTACAGATTCAGTTGAAAATATAACGGAGGCAGTGCCAAAACCACAACGAGAAAATAACGTACCCTTAGACAATATAAAAAATGGTATTGAAAATAAAAATGCAAATATTCCAGATGTTCCGCCACCACCATTACCTGCAGGTGCCAAAAAAGCGCAAAGGATAATTACACTTTGAGAATTGGAAGAATGAAATTTTATATTTCAATTCTAAATGTATATCTAGCATTTTTATTTATTTTATAAAAGTATATAAATATGTTCATAATATACAAACCTACATACATATATTTAATTATTAAGAAAAATCTTAAATTTTTTGATTTTTAAAAGATTTTATTTTATAATTTAATTAAGACTATAAATTATATTATAAATAATTATGATGTTTTAAATGAGGTCTATATGAAAATGTTATCTAATAATATTTTAAAAAATATTTCTAATTAGGAAACCAAATTTTTTTTAAACAAAAAAAAATTAAGATTAATTTATTATAAAAATAAAATTTTATGAATATACATATTTAAAACAAAAAAAAAATAAAGAAAATATTAAAAAGTAAATTTTTCAAAAATTATTGATATACGAGTATATACGTTATTTCATTTTAAAATTCTTTGTCTTGCAATAATTTATTAAAACCCAACAAATCTATTTTTGTTACATTAAAATTTTTGTTCTCTTTGTTCTCTTTTGGTGAATTCAAGTTGGTTCTCTGGCTTTGTTTTTATAATGAGGACTATCTTTTGATTTTTTGGATGGGGAACAAATATTCGAAAGAGGGACCCTTTTTCAATTCCTATATTTCATAAAAACACATGGTTCTAGTTTTCGCATTAATATTTTTAAATAATTCTTTTGAATTTGAAATGTTATGGTAAGCACTAACAATTGTTAAGTTGTTGATATTAATATTGGAATGTGTCAGACACAAATGTACTTCGATCATCAATATTAACTTCTAAATACACATTTATTTAAAAAGAAATTAATTTTTCGAAGAAATCCTGAAAAGGAAGCGGTGTTAAAAACTTAAATGACAGAAAAAGAAAACCAGAACAAAATAAATCAATTTTATAAATTTTTCGCATCCTATCACAATGAATCTTTGCCCCAATTTTATTTTAATGATATTATGTATGTACATACATATGCATGTACATATCATAGGATAAAATTTTTCTTTAAACGTAAAATAAATCAAAATCCTCTATAATTATTCTATATAGATTATAGAATATAAATATGTACGTGATGCATATTGCATTTCCAAACGCAAATAAAAATTTATTTTTGTTCTTAATATTTTATTAAAAATTTTTTTTCATTTTGTTTTCTATAATTTATTACAAATTTTTTTTTAAATTTCATTGTATAACTAGCAGGTCTTACACAATTTTATAGAATTAAAAAGTCAAAGTAACTTAATTATTCAAAAATAAATTTAAAGAAAAGAGTATTGGCTCGAAATTTTGCAATATTTCATTTAAGATAAATTTTAATACAATACCGAACATTTATATTTAGTTTTTCAATTCAACAATATTACGGGAATGTCTACATATTGTATAATAAACATTTTGAAAGTTCAAATAATTCAAACGTGAAAATAATAAATGATTAAATATATACATACTCGTAAGTGTGTATTTAAAAATTGATTTCCTTCTTAATTCAATTATACTTAAAGTAAAAGCAATAATTTTTTTATACGCACGTAACATCTGCTTGCATACAATAATTTCCGCTCACTTTAATTTTAAATACATACCTACCGCTGCAATGCGCTCTAAACATTAAAGCTTAGTCCAGAGGTTCCCAAACTATTTTCTCTCGTAGACCCCTTGTCGTGTTTTTCATTTTTTGGTAGACCCCCAACTATTGTCTTTGAAAAATTTACATTTCTAACAGCAGTAAGGTACCCCTTATGATGTTAGAAAGTTAAATAAAAAACATAATCAATTTGGTTATTAAATTTAAATAATTTAATTATCAAATTTAAATAAAAGTAAAGTAATTCTTACATGAACGAACCCAACAAAATATAAATTAAACTTAAATAAAAATAAAGTACTTCTTACATGAGCAAAACTAAAAAAAAAATTAATTCAATATTATACATATCATTAAACTTTTTCGGTCAATATTATCACATATTATTTTTAAAATACATCACATTTTTAGAAAAAATAAAAATAATTTAATGAGAGGGATGAATTTGATGATTTGATAATAAACTATCAATGTTTGGCTTTAATTTAGTGAGGTTTAACCTCAAATCTCCTCGGTTAATAATATCTAGTTTGTTTCTTTTTTTGGTTATGAGATTCATAACTGCGCTAAACCCCCTTTCTACAAGATATGAAGATGGGAAAGCAATTAAAAACTTTCTTACAACAATCCATAAATTAGGATAAGTAGCAGGTATGTCCTTTTGAAGCCAAAATTGTTGGTATCCCCTTCTAAACTGTACCTTTAGCTCTTCGTTAGTACTAACTCCAATTAATTCCTCCTGTAAGGTAACATCCATTTCCTCAATCTCACCAAATGGATCAATTATCCATTGGGGTATTACAAGCGTTAAAATATCTTCAAATCTAGTCTCAAAATCTGAATATAGCGAATCCAAATGTTGAACATAAATTAAAACATCGTCTTCTTGGCATATTTCCGGTGACAAATTAGGAAACTGGGAAAATTCATAACGTCCGATGTTTTGCTTCATTATCTTAATTCTGGCAAGAAATGCAGAGATTATAGATTTGGTTTTTATTAAGTTTAAATTATCACCTTGCAATTGCAAGTTCACCCCATTAAATTTAGCAAATAAATCAGTTAGATAAGCTATATCTGTTTTTCTATTTACTAAGTTTTCTTTCAAATTTTCATCATGACTTTCGAGAAACTCCAAAACAGTTTCAAAAAGTGCAAAAAATCTGGAGAGACATAATCCTCTTGAAAGCCAGCGTACATTTGTGTGAAAAAGGAGTTGGGTAAAATTTTCATCGTTTTCTTCACACAACTGCGCAAATAATCGCGTATTTAACGCATTATTTCGAATACTGTTAACAGCATCGATCACAAATTGAAGAGATTCATGTAATCTTGAATTTAAATTTTTAGCAACTAAATGTTGTCTGTGGATGACGCAATGAATCGCTAGTACTCCAGGTACATTTTTTTTTAAAAAACTTATAAATCCACGATAACGCCCAACCATGGCGGGTGCTCCATCTGTGGCAATCGATATTATATTTTTCAAAGGAATTTCCTTTTCTAAAAAATAATCCTGTAAAACATTAAATATTGTTTCACCTTTTGTATCAGCAACCAAATTTCTGGCAAACAACAATTCTTCGTACATATTTTCATTCATGATAAAGCGAACATATGCCAATAGCAAAGCTTCATTACCCGGCAAAGTTGACTCATCCAGCTGTATGGAAAAATTAGTCGTTTTCAAAAATTTGCACAAGAAGCTTTCAACATCACTACTCATTTCATCGATACGCCTTTGAACTGTGTTGTTACTTAAAGGAATTTTCTTAATTATATCAAATGAAGGCTTGTGTAGAACAGTTTTTAAAACTTCTTCAACAGCTGGCATAATTAAATCTTCACCAATGGTATGCGGTTTTCCGGTTTTTGCTATGAGTAATGAAATATTATAGGATGCTCTCAACCCATCATTGTTTTTTTGTGACGTTGAAGCCAACATTTTATCCAACGTGGGTCTGTTCCGAAGTTTTTCTTTAAGACCTTGAAAAAATTTCAAATCTTTATCAACATAATCAGGGTGACATCTCTTCAGATGATCTTGGAGCTTTGACGGCTTCATAGCGTCATTACCTAAAGTTTTGCTGCATATAAGGCATAATGGCAATTGCTGGTCCAATAATGATGGGATAAACCCAAATTTTAAATAATCAACATTGTACTGCCTGCATTTCTTTTTTGATTCACTCATGTTCTGTGGGGTTATCTATGAACAAAATTAATCCATTAACTTTTTAAGAATCTGGCAGTGCAATAATAATACTGATTTCTTAAAAATTAAGTACAAAACAACAAGTACTTATGTACTTATTATTAAGTACTTTTCTGGAAAACAAAATTTTATTCAATACACGAGACCAAAATATGTAATACGAAAGATTTGCTTTAATTTCAAACGGCAAAAAAATGTACAATAATGCTGAACGTAGCCTATATTGAATCGTAATACACTTTCATATATTTTGTTGTTTTTGTGTAGCTGACTTCGACAAAATATATGAAATTAAGAGAAAAAGTGTGCTACGCATCAATAGCGTACGTTCAGCATTTTACATGTATTTATTTGCCTGAACCAACCGTTTATTTTTGAATATTTTTTTGCGGACGAAAAAAGTGACAAAAAAAACAAAAAAAATATATAGTTAAAAAACTTTATTTTTCTCTATTTTTTAAGCATGTATCAGTTGAAGTTCGAATTTAAGAAAGAAGAAATGGAATACAAAAAAAAAAAAACAAATAATTTTTTTTTCCTTTTCATTTGAATTTTTCATTCATAATTTGTAAACGTTAACTTTGTACTCTGATTAATGTTTTTTTTTTCAAAATTAAAATTAAAAATAAGAAAAAAATAGCAAAAGTTTTATAGAATTTTACTTTTCAGTTTTGTTTTCTAGCAATATCTATATAATAATGTAGCATGTACTTACTGTTCTCCGTAATTCTCAGACAAAATTATATTATTTCACTTTATTTTAATTTAACAAACTTATATTTTTACTTTTTTTTTCAAAAAATCATGATTTTATTACATTCTAAGTAATCTAAAAACACAAGCAATTAATATGCCAATTTCTATTTTTTTATTCTCCAACTAAAACAGTTCCATTTCCACTATATTTCAGTTTATTATTCTTTTCGAAATTAAATTTCAAATTCGAAAAAAAAAAAACAAAAAATTTTCTATCTTACACACACAGTTGAAGTGGGAGTTTAAACGAAGGAAGAAACGAAATGAAAAAAGTAAAACAAATGAAACACACTTATTTTTTTTTCTTTAATTTGAATTTTTCGTAAAAATATTTTTCCGTTTAATTTGAATTTTTGGTTTATAAATGAAAAAGCATATTGTCTTTCAAAAAGGGAATTTTTCATTGTATAGACCCTCATTTTCATTTCGTAGACCCCCCTTTTCATTTGATAGACCCCCAAATTTTTTTTTCACCTTCGTAGACCCCCAGCAGGTCTTCGTAGACCCCTGGGGGTCTATATAGACCACTTTGGGAATCACTGGCTTAGTCATTTAATTTTATACTGAAATAAATAAAGAAACAAACATTACAGTTATATACTATATATTGTTTATAAATTGTACAAATGTAATAAATTTAATTGAGATTAAGTAACTTGAATGATTCAATTTAAATATTATTTATATACAAATACATATGTATATGTATGTATGTATGTATATGTATCAACAATACTTCAAAAAAGTTTATGCCTTCGTCATATTATCATGAAGTGAGTCTATTCTATAGTCATTTTCAGAATACCTATACATATGTACATGTACCTCATACTTATACATAGTCTTTCGAAAACAATAACATTATAAAAAGAAAATTATTGTAATATTGTAATATTATATAAATTCATACCACGATCTACATAATATGTACTTATACTATGTACTCCGCTTTAAAAAAAATTACAGGAAGAATTTATTAAATTTCGTTCAAACGAAATTATTATGAATATAATATAACTACGATAAATAGAACATTTTGACTGCTCAGTCAGTTATTGTGACTAAATACAACATTTTATTCAGTTATGTATAAAAATCTGGCAAAGTTAAAAAATCTAGCATTATGAGTAAAAAATCTGGTCATCTGGCAAACCTTTGAAAAATCTAAAAAGTCAGATAAATCTGGCAATATAGAAACGTTACTTGATACTTATGAAACTGATGGTTGCTTTTTTGCAACTGTATTTTTTATAACGCCTATTTAGAGCATAAGCACAATGAAGCTTAGTTAAAAAAATTTTATTTATTTAACGTAACGAAAAAATAAACTTTGGCTAATACGACGATTCTGCTAGATATTTTTGTACGTCATAAAATATCTTATGTTAATACAAACAAATATAATATATATACAAACAAATATGTACATATATGCATAACAAAAATATTTATTGTTACGAAATGATAATAAGTAATTTTTATCCTAATATTATAAATATTATTAGCAAATCGATAAAATTTTCAAGTTAAGAAATTTACTTTCTTTAAAATTAATACTCATAGCTATATACACACTACCTGTAGTTTTATTCTATCTCTTAATGACTCATTAGGTATATAAATTTAAATTTTCAACGAATATAGGCTGCCTTAAGACAAGCAAATATAAACAGCAATAACTTTACCTACCTAAATTGTGAATAACGTTAATTTACAACAATAAAATAACATTATTGTGAGATTATGATTATTCTAGTTGTATTTGAAGATTTAAAATGAATTAACTTATTTATAAGAAACGGCATATAATGTACATAGGTATATATTTTTCATATATTATATGGTAGATAAACAAAACACATAAATTATAACGTTATGGTCATAAGGCGAAAAATTTTTAACTTAAAATTTTCTTTATTCAATTCAATTTCAAATTTAACAAAATATACACCAAAGCAGAAATGCAAAGTCTTCTGTAATTTTTTATGTCAATTGTATTTTGGAAATGTATCTACTATATTATAACAACCATATTAACACAAAAAATTTACATAAATGTAAATATTTGCAAAGAGTTGCCATTAATATTTTATTCATAGAAGTCTCTTTTGCAAATTTATTTTGCTGCTATTCTAAAAAAAAATTAAATCCGAAGACGAATAAATGAGAATAAAATAATAATTCTGAGCTCTTGGAATATGTACACGAAAAATACACGAAGCCCTTTTTAAAATTTATGAAAATCGTTATTATTTTTATTTACATAAGTACAATACTTTAAATACTATGTATTATGATTACTCGTATATAAATTATGAAATGATCTATTGAAAATTCCAATTTATCACAATACGGTATGATAAATTTCATTATTTTTGAAATATTAAAGGAGTAACGAAGTTTGGGATCGTAGTCGTAACATCAGTCAATTATTCAGTTGTAACTTGCTTATTGTCTGCGTCTACAAAAATTAAATAAATTTCTCTGGAAAAAATTTCATTGCCTTTTTATATAACGTATGTGCCTATATAGTAGGTACGTACTTATGTATGTATGTATATACCCAACATTATATTATTCTGTTTACCACAAAATCTAATAACTAAGCACCAATCATGTGTGAATCATACAGGCAAACTAAAAGAGAATTTTACAATAATGACATGATAACCTTTAGATGAAAATAAAAATAAAGCACAAATCACAATAATGAAAACAATTCAGAAGAAAATAAAAATAAATAAACTCATTTTCAGAATTCTATAGCTCAGTCAGTTGCGATCATTTAACCGATAAAGAACAATTTTTTATGAAACAAAAGTAAAGCGACAATAATATTTCAAAGCTGTTATAGAAGTGAAGAAAAATTATTCTATTTTTAGTAAAAGACAGATAAACAAAGATGCTTAAGTTTTTAGTATTACTGGGATTTTGCTTTGGCTTTACTTTAAGCCATACATATCATTCTGGGCAATGCCCTTCTGTTGAACCACAATCCGGCTTTGAAATGAGTAAATTCTTAGGAGTTTGGTATGCCGTACAGAAAACTTCTACAGCATCAAGCTGTTTAATATATAATATAACAAGGGGTGAAGAACCAGGAGAATACAAAATTCAACAAACATCACAACATCTTATATTAGGATTGACTCCATTGAAACATAATTATAGTTATACTGGCGACATTACTGTACCAGATAATGATATACCAGCAAAAATGAAAGTCAAATTTCCATTAAATATTGCTGGCAGTTCATCATTTACAGTTTTTATGACAGACTATGAAAATTATGGCGGAATATTTTCATGTCAAAAATTGGGACCATTTCATCGTCGAAGTGCAACTTTATTATCTAGAACAAAAATTCTAGATAGAATATATATTGACAAATTAAGAAATCGCTTAGCTTCATCTTTAGTTGATCCCTTTGATTTAAGTATAATAAACCAAACCGGTTGTCCGGGTCCAGAAAGTGGTGGTGTTAATATTGGCATTGATGATGAAACATTTTCAGCTCATAACGTTGCAAATGTTTTCCGTAAAGCAGGGGAAAAAATTGGTGATGGTGTAGAATATACAATTAGTGCAGGAAAAAAATTATACAATAAAGTAAGTGATAAAGAATCAACATCAAACCATGGTGGTGATTCATTAGTAATTTATGAAAAAATAAGAGACTTAAGAGAATATCCAGCAGAGAAAGACTCAGAATGGATTACAGTTTAAAGTTATTAAATCCAATATACACATTCATACACATGTGTATGGATATAAATATGAGAACCATATAAGGGAACGCTATAATCTGACAGATACTCAAAAAAGTACTAACTATAAGACAAAATAAAACTCATTCCTGATTTTCTTTTTCTGTTCAAAATTATTGACATTATTTTTCACTATATAGTACATATGTATATCATGCTTTTGGATAAAGTTAATTAAGGTTAGTGAAAATAAATGTTTTGTGTATTAAATTACGTTAAAATATATAGAAAATTATGTTTAATAAAATAAATTAATTTTTTATTATATTTGCTATGCAAATTATTTGTCCTTTTCTAAAATATTAAATATTCCTCACTAGATAAATAAATTGACAGACACAAGCTTTTGTTTTTGAACAAAAAACTAACATATCTACATATTTATAAATACACACAAACAGTTGCATTATAATCTTGCTGTATTTTGTAGAACTTAAATTGCGATTTTAAATATATTTATTATAGATAGTGTTAAAAGGTTATCAAAATATTTTAATTACATTTTAATTCCTAAGTATGTGTATTATATATTCATTTTATGTATGTTTTTAGAAGAAGTTAATTCAAATCATAAAAACTTATTGTTTGCAAAGAAAAATCAAAACAGACCTTTTCTCTGCAAAAGCGTTTCAGCAACTTAAGTTTTGTGACGCACTTTTTCGTTTTCCTCTATACATATATTTTGATTGCTGCACTCATTTCTATAGGAAACAAACTAAAAAATATGCTTTAAAAGCCCATAAAAGAAATTTATTTAGTCACTTCGATTATATGCATGCTAGTGTTCAGGCATTTTTTATTTTCAGAATGTTTTTAAAAAGTTAAATCAGTATGAAATACTGCATCATGTATGCAAACACTGTCTTACATACTACCACCTTAAATGTACATAAATAACAAAAATCTAAAAACTTGCACAACTAATGGAATAAATAATAAAATTTAAATATAAACTCTTTTGCAAAATTAACAATCGGTCGCGAAGTCAAGCTACAGAATCAAAAATCTTTCATAATGAATAACTATAATAATGTGAAAATTCTTAATTTTGATTTGATTGTTAATCAAATCTTTATACCATAATTATACACACACCATATCGCTGATTATTAAAATATAACCCGACCCGACAAAATCTAATCGACGAAACCTCTATACATAGTATAATGTTAATTGTAAGTATCTCAAAACAGTTTTTTGTTTTTCACAAGAAAAATATTTCTTTTTATTTGCTTGAGTTTGTTTTTTTAGCTATTACAACCATCGTACATAAATACCTGCGTATTAATATTATTGTTACGGAAACTTTATTAGTTATATCTAAAATAAAGATTCGTTTGCATTTAAGACATATGTATTCTCATATAAGTTAAAAGGACTAATTTGCTTCAATCGTAACTGAGTCATCATTATTAGATACATTGCCATTGGATAAAACAGGTGTATTTGAAATTGCAGGTGAACCTCCTGGATTGGAAATCGACTCAATTTGTTGTACTGGAACCAAACCACTTACAAGAGGTGGATTTTGAACGAACAAACCAATATTAGAAAGTGGCAAATTAAAAGAACCGACATCATACCTAATAACCGGTTGTACCAGTTTCTGTAAAAGAAAAAAATGTAAAATTATAATTTTTTAAACATAAGCATTAACACATAGTTATAAAAACAAAATTATAATGTTTATGTCATTTTATAAATAGCAGAAAGTAAGTAAAAACCCTTACTCATTGCTACATAATACAGTCATCAAATTATTGAGTTTCTTCTTAAAACTACATACAATACGAAAGAATATTCACAATTTTGATGTAATATAAAATAATAAAATCATACCGATTCCAATACCGGAACAACTGGATTATGAGTTTGCAGAGTGCTGTAAGATAATCCACGTCCATCGTTAGCGACAGCTTGAAGCACGGATGATGAATATATCGATGGAATTTCCCTTGATTTTAAAATTGTCGCCGGTCCTAGTGCGATAAGTGGTGCAACATCTGCAGATACAAGAATTGCAAAGCATACTACAATAAGGATCTCTTTTAACACCATTTTGTATGCTTTAAATTTTTAGTGCTTTACTTGATTACTTTGAAGTGAACAAATAAACTAAGTCATGTACGATGGAAGACTACCCTTTTTATATTTACGTTTTTAATAAACAATTATTTATTGTATAATAGTTCGCATATACACTCATATATGTACATATATTATTACATGTGTTTTGATGCATTGAAGTGTAATTATTTCTAGTTTTTGATCATAAAATTTTTTAGATCATCTTCAATGATATCTAGGTATTTTCCTTTTTCAATAAAATGATCATATCAAACTGGTTCTCTCGTAGGTACCTACAAATATAAAGTAAATTAATGCAACCCAAAATCCAGTTAACAGTAAATTAAAGTTACATAGTCATAAATTTAATCGATACAAAAAAAATTAATCTCATTTATAAATTTTTTATTATGCAAAGACTTTGTTTTCCATAGCAATTTTCACAACAATATACATATGTATATGTATGTGTAAGCAGATAATAACTGAATCTATGCGTGGTATGGTATTGTCTTTGCACTCTCACAATTGTTTGTTATCCTAGGTCACCATCGTTTATGTATAATATATTCAGTATAAACGAATGAGTGTGCTTTAAATGTCGTTTAAAATAAATTAAAAACTTTTCTGTAATTGATATTAAAATTTAACAAAAGAACTTTATATTTTTATCGAACTGCAATAAAAGTAATCATGTACATATGTATATATTTATGTCATGCATTTATGTACATCTTACATAAAAAATATTTTTACCATAGAGTCAGTTTTTAAAATACATATTTTATAGAAAGGGACAAATTAAATAAGTTTTTCTTCAATATGTTAAGAGCCATTTGAGGAAACATTCGTTAAATGTTCGTAATTTACTTGCAAAGAAAATAAAACTTTGAAGTTTACAAAGTTTTCTACAAAATCTACTCTCCATTTAAAATTCTATTTATAACAAAATTTTTCAAAGCTCGTTTTTGCGTTTTGATACCTCGTCCAGCAAAAAAATTCTTCGAACGAAACTTGTAGAGAACGTCCACATCTTTTTTATTACCTCTTGTTACCTTTGAATAAACAGCTCAGCTAACAAATTTTTGAAACCGGCAGGACATTCAGTTTCCAAGGCAGTTCCTCAATGGCAATACGTATATCGCTTGCTAAGTTTTTTGAATAGTTTTAATGATTAAAAAAATGTTTAAACAATATTTGAAGATCTATTTGAAACTTCATAGATCATACTTTTTTCGAAACTCCATAGATCATACATATCTAAATTATCCCTCATTAACCAGACTTTTTCAAATCTCAAGACACATTATCATACTGTAATAAAATTGCTTTCGATAAACTAAGCTTAATATGAACCTGAACAAGGTGTGAAGTGTAAGTGAAAGCAAATTATGTTTATAAATAATATAACACATACATATCTTACGTAAAAACATACATATAAAGTAAGCTGCAAACTTAAGACGATTTAGTACTTGAGTATTGTATTGAGTACTCAAAGCTGGAGGATTAACTGCTGGAGGAAAGGGTAAGTGCCTGCACGGTTCTCTACACCTGCAAGAAAATGGTTGGGAAGCCAAGGGGGAAACCTAGCATAATTAGTACCAACCAAACAAGCAAACCAATGGTCCTATTCTAACTAAGATATCGTTAACCAAGTAAAATCATATAAAAACTATTTTTGAAGTTAAGAATGTAGCATAAATAATACTTAACACAAGAATCGCATTTAGCACAGGGGTTCAATTTGATCTTTTGATTAAATTATTGTTAAAATTTAAAAAAGAATTAGACAAAAAAAAAGAATTGCAAAATCTAGCATTTGAGAATAGATTTGACCTGAACAAGAATTAAATTTAGGCGTAATAGTAGCTAATTATAATGTATGTATGTATATATATGTCCGGAAATTTCTACGCTAACAGAATATTAATTTGTGGTTAAACGGGCATCGATAAGGAATAAGTATAGCTTTAATATGTAATCTTGTATAATTACAAAAGAGTTACACTGTAAGATAATTCAATACACTTTAAAATAATTCAAGAGATACATACATCTTAAGATAATTCAAACTTAATAAAATAGGATCAAACCCATGGTTTGTAAGGTTCAAAAGGTGAAAGTACTATTATAAAACATTAATTAATTTCATTTATATCGCAAAAAATTTCAAAGATTGCATACATTTAGAATGAGCAATCTTTAAAATAAAACCAAAAAACATTAAAAGAGGCGTTAACATAATGTTCGAATTTGTGTGAGTTAGGAAAAATTAATGACACGGCATTTACCGTTAGCTTTCGTCATTTGTAGAAACATGGAAATTTTGTCGTTTCGGAAATATATGTCGCCAAAAATTCGAGTGGAGTTGCAAAAAAATTTCTTTTAACGAAATTAATAATTTAATAGTGTCTAAAAGCTGTTAAAATTCCAGATTCCTACAACCTGAGGTTTATGACAAAAACAGTATCAAAAATTTGAAAAAAACCGCGTTTTAGATAATGGTTAAACATTTTGCTTTTTAAAGAACGCTGTCCCGCGATAAAGAAAGCTTGCCACTCACTTCGGGTAATTGCCATACAACTCCGAAAGTCAACTTTGGAAAGTAATATTTGGAAAAATATTAAAGCTAGATTTATAAAACTAGTAGTCTTGTGTCCACCTATTGATCAGACATAATATTCAGGAAGTTTCTAATCAGTGGTTTAACAGGTTCAAGTAATTGCCTCAGATTGTCAAACTGCAGGGTACTATTCTGTCGGTTTTACTTGTTTATTACTTACATTTTGTTAAATTGAACTAATATCTTTATTTTTTATTGAAATAAAAACTATTTGATACTTTCATGCATACGTACATATGCATTATATAGCGAATTTTTTGAAATTTTTATATAAAGTTATTTCTCAGTTTAACTCCCTTATAAAAACTTCTCGGCACGTTTACATAACAAAATATGTATATAATTTTTACAAGTTTTGCCACCCAGGCTCTATAACATGTTATTTATATGTATATCGTATGAAGTCTATACAGGTTTTGCCAACAAATTAAATAAACCTGTCATTGCATAATATTCGTTCTAAGAATTGTTATGTTATTTGACATTTTATGTCATATGTATTGCACATTTTATTTGATATTGTTATTTTGTTATTTGAAATGGAGTTAGCAAGAAAATATACTTCGTGAATGAAACATAATTCATAACACATAATATGAAATAAAGTACTCAAAGAAGAGAACAAAACATAGTGATTTTGCTTTTTACTTTTCTAATAAACTAATGTTCTGAGCTTTAGTAACCAAAAAAGTTTTGCAGAACTTTCCTCAGAAAATACTATTCAGAAAAAAAAATATGGTGTATGCATAATAGATTCTATGCATTATTTGTTTGCTAATAGATTTTTAGCATTCAAATCGTTTACGTCCGAGGTTACAAAATCACAATTTTGTAATATTTCAAATAAATAAATGTTAGTTGTAATGACGCGTTAGGGTTCTTTTAGGAAAATATCATTGTTATCAATTAGTCTACCAAACGGCCAGGTGGCAAGAAGGATGATGAATAACAAAGATGTAGTAGTCGTTTTTTGAAAAATTTTCAGTCTTTCTATTCAAAATTTTTTGCTCGAGTAGTTATTATTTGAAAACGGTAAGTCTCACACTTATCATAGCTAAACTGTGATGCAGGTCTATCAATTGCGACTCACCCATACGATTTTTTATGACATGTATAATTGTATAGCAGCTTAATCAATAGGTCTGTCTGGTATAAGAAAGTTTTTAATTGGGATTATACTTTTTGTTTTCCCAAAGTTTATTTTTTTTTCAATTTTTCCGTCCGCTTTTTTTTTTAAATAAGAATTATTTTCTTTTTGCGAGGAATTACGTCATTGTTTCTCATTTTAAAGTTGTTTTAAGTTTTATCCCAGAAAGACCTAATATGAATGCATTCTTGCGGGGCTTTATACTAGTATATTTAGTACAGTATAAAGCTATTCATGAACAGCTAAAACAAAACGATAAGGCGTACAGAGCTGCAAAATTTTTATCTTTTAAAATATCTAACAGTAAATATGATAAAATAGTAATGTCTATTATTCGGCATTTATTAAACAGTACCTTACGTTCTCTATACATTTCAATTTCCTTACTTTACCGATTTACATTCAAATAAAAACCTTACATTTTAAGAACTTATTTTAATATCAAAAGCAATAATTTTTTGGCTTAATTAAATTTATAACCTTTTCAAGATACAAAAATTTAAAAAAACGAGTTAAATATTAATAATAAATAAGCCTGAGGACAACTTTACTGAGATATTTTTTTGACAACTTCAAAGTATATGTTAAAAATAATTAAATGTGTCAAAAAAAATTAAAAAATATTTGATAACAAAATAAAGCTTATTATTTTATTAACTGAAATTTAGATAGGGATTTAAAGTAGACTATTAGTACTAATAGATACTTGTATTATTTTTGAATTGCTTTCCGTCATAAACGAATATTTGAGTATGTGCAAGCTCTTAATACTGTCAATGTCACAATTTCAAAAAATATTAAACATTTTTAAATATTTCTCTTTTTTAGTGAAATTTAAAATAAAGTTTAAAGCACAAGACTGGCAACAACAAGATCATATTAATATATTCGTTACAAATCTGGCCAACAAAAATTTAAAACTAGGGTTGAGATTTTGAAGATTTGACAACCTTAGATAATTTCACAACTTTTTAGATTTCGACAATCTTGCATAATGTTATATTTTGTAAGTTATTACAGTTATTACTGAGCCTGAGAGGGTCGCATATGTGAACCCTGTTTCTCATCAAACTTTATCTGACGACACTTAATAAATATGATTTAAGAAATCAGATTGAATATTAAATATAATCGGAATCTTATAAAAATCTTATAATAATCGAAAAATGACCTCAAATTAAATTCGATGAAAAAAATGGAAAACTATTCGGTTATGCTCAGATTTACCATCAGATTTGTAAAAACAATTTGGTATTCATTAAAGTTTATAAAAAATTTGCAATAGTCTAATAGCTTTAGGTTTTCTTTCTTAAACCGTGTATGAGCAGTATTAGATGATGCAATTAAAAACCAAAACGTTCCAAAATTTTTTACTTTGACTTAAGCTTTGAAATTTTTATCGAATTTGAAAATTTCAATTTCAAAATCAGCTGGACTGGGGCCTTATGTAATTCGATTTTCGTGAAGCGATTTTCGTATTTGCAGAAATGGAAAGGTAACACAAACTGATTGGTGCTTCCTTACAATGTGCACATACAACAATCTATGCTACGCTTGTTACGTACACATGTAATGTACAGAGGTCCAGTAGAACCACGGCAGCCGTTTGTACCTCGAACGAAGAGTTTTTCTTCCTTTTGTTCACGTCTACTTCGGTACTTCATTACTTTGTAAAAATTCCAATTTATAAATGATGGAAACAAAAAGTTCTTTTTAATATTTAGTACACCGGGTTTTATTCATTACTTAGGGGATGTGTTTTTTTTACTTTTTCAGCATATGTAATTACTTTGATTTTGGAATTGATTAAACAAATAATAGCTCGATAATTCCAAAAAAAAAAGTGTATTAACCTCAAAACACAAAAATGCATATACATGTACAAAAGTAACTCTAAAAAGAGAATCATAAGAAACCACATTTAAAGTTTACTCCTCTGTATAATATTTTCTGTCCTTTGCTAGTTTTTTAGTTTTCTAAAAAAACCAAAATATTTTGATTTTTAAAACACTTTTCTTGGTTAGTGGTGAAATGTCTACTTTGAGAGAAACTTGAAGTAAAATGTTTGCAATTTTATATAACTGAATGAAAACATTTGTTCTTTAATAAAATATTTTTACACCACTCAGCCACAAATATTTTTTTCGAATTTTTAGTGTTCAGTGTGTTTAGGCAAAATTAGAACGTGTTTTGGAGCCTTTTTTGTCGCACAGTTTCTAGGTTTCATTTATATATCTTGATGATCAAAAATTTAAATGTATATAACTTTTAGGTTAATGTATTTAAACGAAAATGTACGGCGTGCGTATCTGATTGGCGATTCTTAAATAATAGTTTGAAAAAAAAAAATTAATAAATTAAGTACAGTTAACTATCAGAATATTATTTAATAATTGATGTAGGCATTGATAAAAATTGATAGTACATAATTTATAATAATATCAGGTAGGTGGACCCTTCAAACTTGAAAGCTCATTTTTTTTTGTAAAAGCGACTACTCTATAACACTTTAAAACGACAGCGCTGTGTTGTATATGATTTTTATGTGAAAATAAATAATAAGAATTAAAAACAATTTTCTACGAAAAAAATCCAAATTTACAAGCGGCTCTTATTTTCCACTATCCCAATAGAATATATCGAATAAAATTGTACGTGTACACCACATTGTGTAAGGACATTCAATCACTATTAACTGGTTTTCTTTCAACTATAGTCTAAGTTTTCTAAACTAATAAATTCGTATACAATATTAAGTATGTACATACTTATATCCCCTTGAAAAAAATTATATACATACATATGTACATATAAATCATGTTATACCAAAAAGCGTTTGTAAAAGTTGCTGCAAATTATTCAGTTAACACTGTTAAAAGTAAATTATCCCCATTCAGTTACAAAATAAATCGTGAAGTTAGCACAATCCCCTCGCAAGTGAAGAAAGTAAAAATGGTAAGAAAATTTTTTATCAATTTTAAGTGTGGGTTAAAAAGCCAAAATTTGATAATTTAATTACGAGTATTAATTTTGTCACCTTTCAATGAGTGGATAGTTTTTAAAACGAAATTAAATTAAAAAAATTGAATTCTATTAAAATAAATAGAAATTATTTTTGTTTATAGTAATGTAATTGCTTCAACAGGTGGCTGTTAAACCTACCCATTTTTAACGTAGGTACATGTATGTAAATGTATTTATATTTAATGTACATATACATAAATGTATTACTTGCTTTTAAAGATTTCGTATGATTCTGCTTACTATAATGTTATCAATTTTTTAAGGCAAAATTAACCGAAAAGGAGCGTGAAGAAGTGCTAGTTCCACTTTTAAATGAAGGATGGTCTGTGGTGAAAGATCGGGACGCGATTTATAAAGAATTTCTATTTAAAAATTTTAATGAGGCATTTACTTTTATGTCAGGTATAGCTCTAATGGCCGAAAAAATGGATCATCATCCAGAATGGTTCAACGTATACAATAAGGTTCAAATAACAATGTCCACACACGACTGTGGTGGTCTAAGTATGAAAGATATTAAAATTGCAAACTTTATGAACCAAATTGCAAATAGATATCAATGAGCATAAATTATTATATAAAAAAACAAAATTATTTCTAAAAACTATTTGTCATTGTATTGAGATATTAAAATTAATCTTAAAGAACTTTACTTAAAATTTCATAATCTACCTTTTCATTATCATCAGGTGAAGTTTCATCTAGCTTATAATCTAACTTACTAAAAAAAGCTTTTGCATCATAATTATTTCTCAAAACTGTTAGTACTACTTTTTCCATATTCCAAAATTCCGCACACTTTTCCAACGCCGCCATCATAAACCTTCCTAAGCCTATACGTCGAAAATCTTGCTCTATTTGCATTTCATAACTGCAGTAAAAAATTATTATTGGAAGAATAAGTTAAAACAAAAGCAATTACCAGTACAATACTTTTTTTCCATAGTCATGATCGAATCTAAACATTGAATAAGCAATAGGGGTTTTGCGTTTATCAAAAGCAATCAAATATTTTGCCCAATTTTTATTGAGATCCCTTTGTTTAATCTTAGGCTGCCAACCCATAGAACAGGTTTTATAATATAATCCTACATTTCTTTCGGCTAACTTAAAAGCCCATTTTAAAATTTTGGGATCCACGTCGCATTTACTTTTGCAGATTAAGTTAAAAGTTTGCCCATCTTTTTCAAATTTCATTGAATCATCAAATTTTTCCATCGGGTTCTTAGCTTTTGAAGCCATTTCTATAAATTTTTGTTGTGACGAACTTGAAATATCCATTTTTGTGCCCTTAATTTTAAATCAAAGCGAACTGTTAATTAAATACAAAATAAGTTTCGGACCCAATACAACTTCGCGGTCAATTTCGTTTATGTTTATATTGCTATTTTTATTCAATTTATACATACATATGTACCTATTAACCAATTGAAGTTTGACAACTTTTGTAAGGGATGTACCAAAAAGTGAAAAATATGAGCGATATGACAGGTTAAGTAACCTGAAATCAGGTCGAAACTCAAGCTGCGTTTTTAATATTACTTCATTTATGTGCACCCTTATTGTAAATCTCACTCGTACCACTGAAATTCGGAGGAATTACGAATTTCATATTCTGAATTCCGAAGTAGTAGAATTGTGTTCCGAAATTCGTAATAGAGTAATTATGAATCTCACTTGTAATTAATATAAATGTCAAAATTCTACTAGTGAAATTTTAGCCAGTATTCAAGAGTGGTTTGTTAATTTTTTTTAAGTTTTTGTTTTATTTCTGTCATCCAAGTAAAAAGGATTACAAACATCTCTAAAACGTTTCAAAACGTTACAGCAAAGGAAAACGACTTCAATTTAATTAAGGACCTCATCGTGTATCTCGTGAGTAACTATCATATACTTGTATAAAGTTATTTTCGAGTGAAAAAAATTATTTGGTATTGCTTATCTCGTTTTTTTTTCAAATGCATACAAAATTTATTTTGTGTAATTTATATATACTTTGTTTTTGAAACTGAGACGTTCGGTCGATAATTTGAGAAAAAATGCAAAAATCCAATTGAAAAAATTAGTAATCTTGTTGAAAAAATGAAATATTCAATAGAAAATACTCAGAATTGTGAATTGAAAGAGAACAAAAAATGAGTAAAAAAGCGAGATACACGATCAGGCTGTAAACTTATTTTTTGATTGTCTATTGTTTTTTGAAGAGTTTATTATTTTTTAAAATGTCTATTATTTTTTTGACTATGAAATTTGAAAAATTCAAATGCTGACAGCTGTTAATAAAATACCGGTTTTAACACTCCGAAAAATAATGTTGCCATTACAGATTCATAATCTCTACGAGTTAGATTTACTCAAAAGTCTGCGTGCGTAACTTAGTTCGAAATTCGTCAAATAAAAAAAATACATTCACAAATAGTTTTTTCTAAAATTCACACTTTTACAAACCAAAATCATAATTTCCGGTTTTTAGAAAAACCAAAAAATATTTGCTTTTTCATAAATATATTGAAATTTGATGTTTATAACCTATTTATAAAGTTTTTAAAAATGTTTTCAACTTTTCCGTCTGGTTCACTTTTTTTTAAAATGATATTTTTTTTTTGTTTTCACGAGAAATTAAGTCAATGTTTTCTTGCAAAAACACAGTAGATGTTCTGTGAACCTATATAATTTTTTTTCAGTACATGGATACAACAACTTTAAAGATATTGTGAAAAAAAATTACAATGGCAAAAAATGTTATTCATATTTCGAAAACGACCGTCTCACTTATAAACTACGCATTTTAGCTCCTGCTTATGGCTTAAAAAAACTAAATAACTAAATAAAAATTATAATCTTATTACATTTCTGGATGTGTTTATTTTTTCTGTGAAAAAATTTGGTCATTATATGTATACCTTCAAAAAATTTAATAGATTGTACTCGTATTCCCCTTACAAGTTTTACAAAATCCACCTTACTCACTAAAAGCGAATTAAACGCTTCAAAATACATAAAAAATGTGTCTTAATTTTTGTACTATAAAGTTTTATTTCGTATCTCACTTTTTTTTTACTGGGAGAGAAAAAGGTGAATGACAATCATAATATGTACATTCGAATTGATCAAACAAGACTTTTTTTGCCATATAAGTACCTATTTTTTCAAAAACAAAATCAATCACGTTGTTTCAGAAGGTAAAATACTTAGCTGGTTTGAAAACAACCTCAAAATTTGTACAAATAAGGTTGTTGAAGTCAAACATATTTCTCAAAAGCATCCCATCATAAACTTTGATATTATTTCACGCTTGCATTTATACATAATTAGTAATGAATATTTTAGTTAAATGAATAGTTTAGTTTTGAAATATTATTGTAAATAATATTTAAAATTAGTAGTGGTATACGAAATGTTATTTAGTTTAACAATGCTTTAGGTTTTTATTTTGTCTATAAATCATAATGGAAAATAACATGTTTAAGTAAGAGATTCATTTTTCATCACCACAAATTGACAGGTTTTTAGACACTCATGAAATGACAACTAAATACAAAGAAATAAAACGTTTAATTTCTATTATTTTATATAATTAATTATATAATTTATATGATTAAAGAATTATTTTATATAATTAAAGAATTTACGAAATAAAATCTATAAAAAATCTATCGTTTTCCTTTACATATCTTATGCAATTTATAATGGACCGTTACAGCAAAAAGTTTCATAAAAAACAACGTGAACATACCTAATTATACTACATAATTGCAAATGCACTACACACACGAAATGAAATTGTAGATATACATGCATACTTACGTATTACGTATATATACGATATAATTATGTTAATTGTTGCACTAGATTCGCAATTGGATTAAAATATACATACATATAACAAGACTTGCATATTTTATTTCATATTTTATAAAAGTAATTCTAGGTAACAAGACGTTGGTAATAAAAGTGTAGAAAAATTTTGTGAAAGTACGTAATTAATGCTAAATAAATAGTAAATATATAAGTATAGATTAATTAGTTCTGAAATCTTCAAAGTTAAATAATTTAATATATGTACATAACTGAAAATATAGGTGATAATAAAAAATTTAATTAAATAATAAGTTCAAAATTTAAACGTTTTTTTTGTATAAAGAATGATTGAAGATAAATTAACCAAAAATGGTATTATCAACTTTGGTTTGACACTTGATTCAAACCAAAGAGATGACAGCAAAGAAAATCCGGTTGTCAAAGAATTAGAAATCGAAAATTCGAAAAAAAATCATCAAGTAGAATCTACAAATAATTTTGGTAAGATAAAGAGTTTCTATTTTGCAAATTTATAATAATATAAAACAATAATGCTAGACCTCTATTAATAGTCATTGATTGTAAGCCAAATTTCATTATTTTTGTTGTTTTTTAATTATAAATTACGTACATATATGTATTACATTGATATACCTAAGTGTGAAACAGGCAAACGAAATTTTAAAATTAAAATTTATTTTGACTTCTTATCACTTTTAAAAAATTTTATTCTTAAACCGTAAATTATTATCAAAAGAAAATCCATTATCTGGTGTGATAAAAAGTGCAATACAGTCTATATTTTTCCAATAACAAAGTGCATAATTTCACGTACGTGCTTAGCCTTAGATGTACATATAAATACAGTGAATAGCAAGAGTTTTAATACTTTCGCGTAAAGTTATTTACATTAATACAAATTTTTATATTCTATAAATTTTTATTTATTTTCCTTTTAAAGAAGCACAAAATAAAATTACAATTATAAAATTTTGCACAATTATATACATACTTATATGTATGTTTGCATGTAAGAATTATGCTTTGTTCCAATCTACTAGTAATTTGGTGCCTGGAAAAATTCTCTGAAAATGAAACGAAATTTTTTTTGTAAGCAATGGAGATAACATTATCTTTGATAATTTCTTTATATATTTTCTGAAGCTCAGTTAGGATAAAGTGGTAGATAACTGGTTCTAGTCTAATTCGAGGAGAGAAATTTTTATAGATAGAAAAATTTTATGATTATGTATACATATATAGAAAATTATATGTATCTGTTCTACTGTTTTTTTTATTTTAAAAATTTTTTGTTTTTCAGTGGTATTGTGTTTCATAGTACATATCTTTTCGGTGTTATTGTTTTTTATAGTATCTACTTCTAAAATAGTCTTATAAATAAGATTTACAAAATCGTCAAATTAATTTTTTTCGGGAAAAATTTCGGGAACATTTTGTTATTCTTGTTCCAAAAAAATTATACATACATATGTATTATTTCTTACGTGCGTATACATACATATTTATTGAGTATAGTATATAATGTTGACATAACACGTTTTGAAAAATTATTAGCATTATAACTTAGTTCATAATTACAATTTGTTTCATGTTTACATGTTTTTGTTCAATAAATTTTATTTTAAGTTAAACCGAAACTGGAAAATAATTTTTGATTTTTATACAGGTATCTACATAATATGTATGCATATATGTATGCATATATGTATGTATGTATGTAATCACAAATACAGAGCGGGGTTATTGCTCTGTATATTATAGATCAAACATAACATTTGGAATGGCGAAAATAAACTTTTTTGCTTCACGTTTCTTTATTTTCAATCCTTTTTAAAATTTTCTTTTTATCAAATATTATAAAAAGATAAACTACGTAACGTACTTATGTATGTATGTAAGTACGTACCTGCATTGCATAGTCTGACTTAGAAGTATGTATACTAAGGCTTGTAATACTATTTGTGTGTATATAAGTATACATTTATATACGTATACATAACATACATCACATTTTATATTATAAAGACACAATTCAAAGATTAGATAGTATTTATAAGTAGGGAAAGTGCTTTTATTTATATTGGAATATTAAGATCGGGGAAAAAATCAATATTTTGATAAATCACTAAGTCCTCGAGATGCGACATTTTTGGTTCCAGAAATTAATGTCGTAACTGGAATTGTCGCTTGAGGCGGGAAAAAAATGTATGTAAAGAAAAGGTGAAAAAAGTGAAGACAAACTATTTTATACTAAAATTCACCTGTTTTTTTTTTTAAAAAGATACCAAAGTTTAAATAACAAAAAAAAAACAACAAAAATAAAATAAAATCTGATTAAGTAAATTAATATTTTTCGATTCGTATTTTTAACAACTAACTAGTGTTTTTAATTAGAAAGAATTCATTACTGATTCTTATAACTAAATTCAGCACAGATTTTTAATCAAAAATCGGTAAAATCTGTCAAATGTTGCAAGCCGAATGGTCCAAATTTATATCATGTCGTAACTCGAAATGTCGTTTCTCGACTTAGTAATTTATTAAATAATGTTGAAAAGTAATGCACTTGGACCCTAAAATAAAAACTCTAAAATATCTTGAATTTATTAAGGCAAAAAAGAAATGAATGAAAATAATTTTATTTGAAAAGGAAATAAATAATTTTAAAGATATTAAATAAAATAAATAATTTTAACGAATTGGTTATTGATGTTAAATCAGTTTTAATATTCAAAGTTGTTGTTTTGATCTGGCAGGCGTTAAAAGGGTTCAGTTATTATACAGCAGAAAAAGTGTACTCAAAACTTGAAGAACAATTCGCCTGTTTTTTTTATTAGTTTTTTTTGTTTTGGAAAATTAACTCGGTATTTAAAGCCTAATAACATAAACAGCTCAACATGATTTTTATAATTTACCCAAAGCTATGTTAGGGAATTCTTTTATCTATTTACAATATGTATTTGCATAGACAATTGTTAAAACCACATTCATTCGAAAAAAAAATATTGCTCAATAGATTATTAAGATTTCGTTGATCGCTAAATTTATTACGATCACTGCTCGATTGCAATTATAATAAGCACTGCACTTGCATTATCTTTACTAATATTTTTAAAACGCTGCAACATCTTTTTTATTAATCAACAAAATATTTCAATACATGCAGGTTGACAATGGCTGACATAAATTCGGCAGATCCAGAAGACCTCGTTACCTGTCCTTATAATAAAGCTCATCTTATCCGTCGAAAAAAATTTCAGCTACATTTAATTAAATGTCGGTCACATCATCCCGATTCAAAGTTACTTAAGTGCCCATTCAATCTATGTCATATGATTCCCGAGCAGGAATACTCTATGCATATCGGTTCTTGCCCAGATCGGGCCATCATAACCAATTATAAAAATATTGAAGAAGATAATAAAAGAAAAGCAACAGAGGTTTCCACACAACCTAAAAATGATAGTGAAGAAGAAGACTGGGATAACAGTGAGGAAGATACGAAGGAAAGCACGAAAACCTTCTTAGAGTCCAAAGGATATGATCCTAATAAAAAAATAAATTCCAATGATATAATTTTACCATTAAACGGATATTTACCAGCACAAAGGCGCAAAATTAGAGAAGATCAATTGAAAAATTTTGAAAGTAAAAGATCTAGGCGCGACTGAAAATTTCAATTAAAATTAAAAAAAACTTCTAATTATAAATTAATATTGTATGAAATATAGTACAAATATATCAACACGTTGGGAAGGGTAAAACAGGAAAGTGCTATACATACATACATACATACATATGTATTTTCATCTTTTTAATTTTTTTTTTTTTGTAAAAAAGTTTTTACGTTTTTGTAAAAATATAAATAGAAGTTGGGGAGCATTATACAGGGTGTTTCGTATGATATTGAAAATAATTTTGTTAATGATTCTTTCCAGCAAGAAAATATGTAGGTACGCGGGGGTTAGTGTGGTGTTGGGGGGTGCAGGCATACTCATTTTCTCAGACTTTTCCTGGGAGCCATACAACATAGAGTTATCTTAGGAGCTTATCTTACAGGCAATTGTTCTTTATTTTCGGTTCTACGATTAATTTGGTTTGAGCCATAGTTTTCGGAATACAGCTCGTCAGAGTCGGGATTTAATTTTCGTTTTTTTTTTTTAATTTTTTTTTTTTTACAAAAGTCGAAATTTCTTGAAAACTTTTTTTTTCTTTATTTCGATGCGCTAAAATGAGATCTAAAAGTTAACACATGTAAAATTTTTTTCTATCTCGTATTTTCTATCTTTTTCCTGTAAAAGGTGTTAAATGTATTTAAAAACATGCGAAAAATGCTTTTTCCAAATAACGATATTTTCCTCCTATAACAATAGTTTCTTTTGTTGTACTGAAACTAGTGTCCAAAAATATGAATATATTGATAATTTTTCCCGGATACCAAATTACATAATGTTTCAAAATAAATCGCAACAAAGGCAGTTCGTTTGTGCTCAAATATATGTATGTCGTGCACTTCGTCCAATCTAAATTTCTTGTTTGATTTGCCTTTTTTTGAAAAGTTTATTTTTAAAACTATTGCAAATTTAATCCTTATTTAAAAATTTATAGATTTATGATATTAAAATAAATGAAATTTTGTTTTTTTATGAACAGACGCTTTTTAAAATAAAAATTTATATTATATTTGCAAACGCGAAAGTACATACTTGCTAATTCTAAAAAAAAATCCGTTGACAGTCCTAAAATTTACAGTTTCTAATAATTAATTCATGGACTAAACGTCATCGGGCAGAAATGAGTACATGCAGTTGTTTTTTTCGCGATGACATTACATTTTCAAACGTCAATGCTATCCAGAAGACCTTGTAAATATTTAGACCGTGATAATTAATAAATTGTCAATCACAAACTGGAATCAAAATTCAATCTGATCTGATTTAGGAAATATTACTTACTACTTAGATTGATTAAGAACACCATTTAGTAAAGTTAAAAAAGTATCTGCATATTTGTGAATATTTTTGAAAAGGTTTTGTTTAAAATATATTTATTATAGTAAAAAAAGATAACGTAGCCATGGTTCAAAATGGAGGTGATGCTGTCGCTGACGGGGCTGATGAAAAAATGCTTGGAAATGAAGATAAAAATTTGATTGGAAAAAAAGAAGAAGTTAAATTTATTACTGGTGATCAGCAAAATGGAGACGCTAAAATTGATATTGGAACCATAAATAAGGTAGGTACATATCTACCCCTTTTGACTTTGAAATTAAAATTCTTATACTAAATCTTATATGTATGTATATTAGATTTTTTTTTACTAATTGACTAATTAAATTTAATGAAATTATATACATACATGCATACCTCTAAAAGCTCTACATAAAGCTAAGCTTTTGACTCCATTTTAGCTGGAAAAAATGTTTCAAAAAAACAGGGTAAAGTAGATAATCTATGAGTATGACCGTATCAAAATTAAATTGATTAATTTGTCCTAATATTCTCATTTATGACATGCTCTTACTTAAAATTATATTTCGACTTATCTTCCATTTACCTCTATGAAAATTCCATAAAATTCGTTTCTAATTACTTAACAAACTTCAAAGCCATATTTTTATAGGTGGGGTTTCCTTTAAAAGCATACGAGCATGTTAAGTATTTCGTTTCAAAATATTTTAAAAACTGGTGTAAGACAATATCTAAATTTGTATTTCGTATCATGGCGATTTATTTATGTGTATATGTGCAGTGGGTACCTAGAATTATATATTAATGTATCTATAGAGTATCTACATCATATCTTGAAAAAACTGATATTATCAGAACTTTTGATTTATACCATACACATTTTACCATAATATGGAAGTAAAAATTACATTTTATTTGAAAGATAATAAAATTTATTAAATTTAAATCTTTAAAAAAAGTTTTGCATCTTTGTTCCCTTCAATTATTTTAATGAGTAGTATGTAGTTACGTATCTATTATCTACTGTTTCAGAAATAAGAAAGTTATACGTACATACATACATACAGTCGAAATAATTTTTTCTATACAAACATAATATATTATATATACCTACATCTATACCAACATACATATGTATGTATATGAAAATTTATATATATATATACATTTATCTATCAGGCCACCAAGCTGAAATTACTTTCCGAAATTTTAAGTCGGAAAAAAATACAAAAACACTTCTTTATGTTTTATATTTTCGAAGTGTGCCGATTGAAATTTTTTTTATTTTTTTTTGTGAAATTTTTAAGTATTTTTTATGATTCTCATTTTATTTAGTATAAAATATATAGTTTAGTTTTAAAAGCCATCTAGATTGTAATAATTATTTTTTTGTTTTTTTCTTCTATATACCGACCGATTTTTTTGAAATTTTTAAATTTAAAAAAATATGTAGAATCAGTAGAGCCAAGAATATTGATCAACTTCCTTCACACAAATAAATTCCGACACTGCTTCCATTTAACTCCATATAAATTTGGAATTTAATTTTGATTTGTTCTCTGAGCTTGATGCCCAGATAGATATATATGGCATTAATCTACTAAATAAATTTTCACACTGTCTACTATGTATGTACATATATGAATTTTAATACAGAATTTATTTTTATTACACGCATTACAAAACTTTAAAATAAAAGGAAAATGAAGTGGTAAGGCTTTTTGCTAACTTAATATTACGAAGTAACAATTTTTTTATTTCTTTGTTTTGCTTTTTTTTTTAATTATTATTTAAAAGACGACTGTAATTTAGTAACTTGATTTATTTTAATTAAAAAATTTTATACCACACTGTCTATAAAACAAAATCACTTTATATAAGTTTCGAGTTGACCTTTATTTAGTCAAAGATAAAACATGGATAAAAATGTTAAAATGCATTATGTGCCAACCAGACCCTTATTAGTTATTATATTATATATGTATGTATGTATGTATGTATGTACATCAATTTACTTTTAATTGATTAATAATAAAATACATACATATGTACATATTAATTTGACAGTAGTGATTCTTTAGGAATTGTTCCTGTTTTTTAATTATGCTAACATTTTATGATTTCACTTATGATTTTTTCTTTGTTTTCTAAAATTAAATTGGTAAAAATGATGAAATTTTATTATTTTCTAAGACTTTTACTGGAATGACAAAAGAAGAATTGATGAAATATGCTAATGATCCATTTTGGGTACGTTTACGTTGGATGTTTTTCATTTTGTTTTGGCTTGCTTGGATAGCAATGTTGGTTGGTGCAATTTTAATTATTGTCAATGCACCTAAATGTTCTGCTCCAACTCCGCTTGTCTGGTATAAACAAGGACCACATGCGAAGTTTGGCAAATTAGAAGATGCAAGCGCCAAAAATGTTGAAATAGCTAAAAAATTGCAAGCTAAGGGCGTTATTTATGAATTGTCTCCGGAGGATACTTATTTAGTTAAAAATGATCATGTTGAAAGTAAAATTAAAGCCGTAATTGAAAACTATAAGGATACTGATATTAATGTTATACTGGATATAACTCCAAATTACGTTACAAAACAGTCTAAACTCTTTAAAGAAGCACTTGAAGACCATCAAAAACGCACATCATTCTTATGGGTTGAAAAACCAGAAGTACCTAATAATTGGAAATCGATAGTAAATGGCACTGCTTGGGATGAAATCAAGCCTGGAAATTGGATTCTGAGTCAATTTGGCGAAGGAAAATATGATTTAATTATGAATGACACAAATGTTAAAGCAGAACTCAATCAAGTGTTCAACGATTTGTTAAATATAGGGGTTAAAGGTTTTCGTTTAAATAATGCAAAACACTTTCTGTTGCATGTTGATCTTAAAGACGAAGCGGTAAATTCACAAACTGACAGAAATTACCTGCATGATCAGTATGGATTTTGGACTCACACAAAAACTACTTATCAAGAAGGACTTGGTGATTTGTTGCAACAATACAATTCATACATTAAGAATGTAAGTGACAACAAAGCATTTTTAAGCGTTAACGAAGACATGGGACGTCCAGAAGTATTTAAAAATTCGAATAACGATTTTGGCATCGATATACCAATATATGGTAGATTTGCCACACATTTAGGTGGAAGTCATGAAAAGAACCTGTATACGGATCTTAAGAATATTTGGGAAACCGTAGGCAACTCAGCATGGTTGCAGTGGAATTATGATTTCGACAAGTACGATCGTTTAGATGCATCAGCTTATAATGTTTTTCTAATGCTACTACCAGGTGTTCCTGTTTTAGATACAGCTTCTGAAAATTTGATGAATATAAGTAGCAATACCTGGGAGCAAATGGACAATATGAGGAAATCTCCTTCGTTTATGCATGGAAGTTTTGATATGTACCATTCAGGAACTCTAGTAGCATATTCAAGGTAATTTATTTTATTATAAAGAGATAATTGGTATAAGATTCAATACTGCAACTCATTTTCATTTAAAATTTGTGCTAACCACCATTTTTTTCGGATACTAACTTTCAGGCAAAGGTAAATAATTTGACAAAAACACTTTGTTTTTCCTCAAACTTTTTTGACTTTGCATGCGAATTACTTCCCTTAATTTCTTTTTAATTTCTTCCTTATTTTTCAATTTATTTTCCAACAAAACATAAAAGTAGTTAACTTTGCAGGATCAAATCAGGAAATCCAGGTTTTTTCGTTGTATTAAATCCTACAGACAGTTTTGCTACTGGCAATTTCAGTTCCAGCGGATTACCAGAAAAAATGACTGTCGATCTTTTAAGTGATGGATATAATGCGACAGGTGTCGTAATAAAGTAATAAAATATATTAAATTTACATTTTAGTACGCATAAATAACATTTTTTATATTCCAATTTAGGAGCAAAGTAATGACAGATTCCATTCAAGTTTCTGCAAATTCAGCTATCATACTAACTTACGTACCAGTTAAAAATTAAGTTTTTGATTAAACATCAAATCTTTCAATAATGAGATTTCGGATTAAAATCAACTATTGAAAAGAAATTTATACTTTTTCTTAATATAAGATTGTAATATTGTACAACACCTTATTCTCAAAAGTTAAATTAAAAAAAAGTAATACATACATACAATAAATAAATAATCATGATAATAAAGCAAATTTTATATTTTTTTTCTAATTTAAAAACAACTATATATTATACCATTATATTTATAACTTAACGAAATTTCTGTCCTTTAACCATTATTTTAGCTACCGCAAAAATATAAGGATGGACTTAGTCCAGTCTGCTGAGTCTTGGATGGGCCCTCTCATCCACAGAAAAAATGAAGAAAAAATGACGATTTTATGCGTGCTTTTCCATATTGTGTTCTTTTTCTCTAAAATTTTACTGAAGTTCTCTGAAAAATACTATGAATTAAAAACTTCGAGTTTTTGTTGGTTTCTTTGTAGTTTTCCAAAACCTTTGAATCCATATGCGGAATTTGCCTAGGTTTTTAAAAGACATATCTCAGGACTTACGAGCTTTGGATGACTGAATTTTAAAAAAGTTTTAAGATTTTGAACACCTTTTTTTAAAGCCCCTACGAAGATTTTGTACGGACGTACATCTTCCAATTCTTCTCATCAGCAACTTTTTCACTTTCATCAATAATAACTTTTTCAAAAGTTATTATTGATGAAAAATTTTTTCAAAAATAAAACCTTCTGACATAACCAATAAAAACATATGTATGTCTCGAAAGGAAGATTTATTAATAATATAAATAAATTACATAGGAAGATTTATAAATAATATAAATAAATTCAATCAAGTAAATAAAAAATATTGAAATACGTACATTAAAAACAATGTATGTATGTATATGTAAATAAAAAGGCAAAGTGGAGCTCAAACTTGAAGGAGTGAAAAAGAGAATCATGGAATTTTGATACTATTCGTTTTCATATAAAAATAATTTGTTTTCCTTTTCAATTAAAAATAGTTTAATTTTTTGTTTTTTGGTAAAAAAATTTATTTTATTACTATATTAAATAACTGATATTATAATACAATATGTATTTAACTGATCGCTTTATCAAAAAAACATCGTCTGCAAATAGTATCAATGCGGAATGGTAAAAACCTGGGTGAGTTTACGCATAAGTTCAATAACAACGGTACCAGCATAATTTCTTGTGAAGGGGCTAATTAGTTTTCTAAAGATCGAATTATTGTTGTTGGTTAATTAGTTTTCTAAAGATCGAAATAAGTATAATTTAATCACTTTTCAAAAACCGTTAGTTTTTTTTGCCATTTAATGCTCTAAGCGCAATGAGGCAACACTTCCGAAAAAAATTTGACAACTACAAATAATCTCTGGGTTATTGAATGGATGATACTCTTTGAACAAAAATGAGAGAAAATGATGACGTTTTTATTTTATTTTTTTATATTTAAAGTTTTTTCAAGTGTTGTAAAGTAGAATTTAGTGTTTTAAAAACTTAAAATCAGCAGTCGAGACATATGTTTTTCTTGCTTATGTCAGAAGGTTTTATTTTTGAAAAAATTTTTCATCAATAATAACTTTTTTCTCAAAACTTTTCAATTAAAAATAAAATAAGCAAAATGGGTTCATAAATGGTTTTTCCTAAGTTTCACACTTTTACAATCAAAAATCAAAATTTTCGGTTTTTGGTATAACCAAAAAATATTTGATAAATACTCTGAAATTTGACAATTATCACATATTTATAGTTTTTTAAAGTTTTTTTCAAGTTTTCCCTCTGGTTTATTTTTTTTTCTTTTTGCGAGAAATTACGTCATTGTTTTTTCAAGTTTTATCCTAGATAGACCTATTGTTTACACCCTGTTTTTGCAGTTGTTGCCTTTCATATTTTATTAATTTTGGCAATATACATTTATTATTTTTTTTCTTTTGGAAATTTTAAATGAAAAATGTTTTGTTTTTTTTTATAAATGTTAAAAGTAAAAGTTTTTTACAATACCAATAATTGAAGTAATAGAAATAATTTTTTAGATTTTATTTTGATTTTGAATCTTAATCGATAAAGTTGATTGCATGTTTAATAGAAGTTTTCCACAAATGTTTATTTGAATTCAGTGACACTCTTCACTATATTAAATGTATTTCAATATACAACAGAATTTGTATTCAATTATCATGATTTTTAAAAATAATTTATTCACAAGAATAAGTAAAAAGAATGTTCCAATTTTCAGCAAATCGAAAGAATATGCCTTGAAATAATACAAGTGAAAACAGCCTACTTTCTGACAAATGATATGAAATGGCAACATTTTTATTAAATGTGGAACTAACGTAATAGGAAAAGTGGATTTGAAAAAAAGCATGTCCAAAATTAGAAATAAAAGAAAAGTGGGCGTCGGTAACGATTTTTAGAAACCTATAAGTACTGGTGCAAAGGGAAATTTTCGTCATAATCTGTTTGGAAAGCTACATAGCCGGCTGTTCGAAACGGAAGTGTAGATTTTAATTTAAAAAAATTAATTTGTAATTTGTGAAATTTCTTTTACATAAATAAATCAAAATGGTAAGTTTAACAAATTTAATAAATTTAATTTAAAAATTACAATTAAATTTAATTTAACAAATTAACTTCATTAATTGAGATCGGCATAGAATTACATGAATCCTCTATTTCATTCAATTGGGCGTTTCCATTCATTAGAGAAAAAACGTGTTAAAATTGAAATGTAGTTTTCAATAATTCTTTTTAATTTATAAAAAATAATTTAATTACACATTTTTACTCTACACGTTTCGATATTTTATCAACATTTTTAAAAATTTGAGCATAATTGAAGAGACGCCATTTTAAATTTTACTTGTATGCGGCAATCAATAAATTGCCATGACTCATTTAATTTGCATAGTAGCAATTCAATGATGTCATCACTGTCGATTTTTCAATTGAATTTTTAAAGAAAAAAAATTACCAGAAATACTAAGTTTTTTTCTTTTTATTAAATGTAGCGTGAATGTATCTCAGTTCATGTTGGTCAAGCTGGTGTTCAAATTGGTAACGCCTGCTGGGAATTGTACTGTTTAGAACATGGTATTCAACCTGATGGTCAAATGCCTTCAGATAAAACAGTTGGAGGTGGTGATGATTCATTTAACACCTTCTTTAGTGAAACTGGAGCTGGTAAACATGTTCCTCGTGCTGTGTTTGTTGACTTAGAACCAACAGTTGTTGATGAAGTACGTACTGGAACTTATAGACAATTGTTCCATCCAGAACAACTAATTACAGGAAAGGAAGATGCTGCAAATAATTATGCCCGTGGTCATTATACCATTGGCAAAGAAATAGTTGATCTAGTATTGGACAGAATTCGTAAATTGGCTGATCAATGTACAGGTCTTCAAGGCTTCTTAATTTTCCACTCTTTTGGTGGAGGTACTGGTTCTGGTTTCACTTCTTTGTTAATGGAACGTTTATCAGTTGATTATGGTAAAAAATCAAAATTAGAGTTCGCCATTTACCCAGCTCCGCAAGTATCTACAGCTGTCGTTGAGCCATACAATTCTATTTTGACAACCCACACCACTTTGGAACATTCAGATTGTGCTTTTATGGTTGACAATGAAGCTATTTACGATATTTGTCGCAGAAATTTGGATATAGAGAGACCAACTTACACTAACTTAAACAGATTAATTGGTCAAATTGTGTCCTCAATCACAGCTTCACTACGTTTCGATGGTGCACTTAACGTTGATTTAACTGAATTCCAAACAAATTTGGTCCCATATCCACGTATTCATTTTCCATTGGTAACATATGCCCCAGTAATTTCAGCAGAAAAAGCTTACCATGAACAATTATCTGTTGCTGAAATTACAAATGCTTGTTTCGAACCTGCCAATCAAATGGTTAAATGCGACCCACGTCACGGTAAATATATGGCTTGTTGTATGTTATATCGAGGCGATGTTGTACCAAAAGATGTTAATGCAGCTATTGCTACAATTAAAACCAAGCGTACTATTCAATTTGTTGATTGGTGTCCAACTGGTTTTAAAGTTGGTATTAATTATCAACCGCCAACTGTAGTACCAGGTGGTGATTTAGCTAAAGTTCAACGAGCAGTTTGTATGTTGTCTAACACCACAGCCATTGCTGAAGCTTGGGCTCGTTTAGATCACAAGTTTGATTTAATGTACGCCAAAAGAGCTTTCGTTCATTGGTATGTAGGAGAAGGTATGGAAGAAGGTGAATTCTCTGAAGCACGTGAAGATTTAGCTGCTTTAGAAAAAGATTACGAAGAAGTTGGAATGGACTCTGGTGATGGTGAAGGCGAAGGGGCAGAAGAATATTAGAAACAAAGTCTTCTGCAAAAATTAAAAAAAAGGCAACCCTCACCTTATATGCAGAAAAAAAGAAATAAATGCAAATTCAATTAAAATCTTTGTTCAATTATTGAAAAACAAATTTTCTCTTTCAGGTGAAAGTTTAATTTTATTTTTAATTAAAGCTTTTTAAAATGTAAGTATAATTTTTAAAAACTTAAAATTGCATTAGTTTTGCAAGCAAAAAATATGTTCATCTATGTACATACATGTTGAATAATGCTGTAAGAATTAACATCCTTGAACCTTATGAAAATTTAGCAAAGAGGTATTAATAAACAAATCAGAAATTACACTTTATGCTGAATTATGCATTAAAACTGTATTATGAATATACTAAATTTTGGAGCCCAAATGTTGCGATTTATGTAAGGAAGTAATTTTGTGTTGAATACAAGATATAAAGTAGATTAATGAATAATTCCAACATCATTATAATAGACTTTACGGCACATTACATACTTTTTGGAAATATTAAGCACATAAATGCATTATGCATGCAGATACTTATTAGATACTACTTTGAATTGCATATGATACACAAATATACTTTTTTATGATGTACATATCTTATGTACAACAATATGTTAATGTACATATCTTATTAAAACAATATGAACATACATATCAATTCCGAATTGGCGAAAGAAAACTTCACCAAATTATAATTTTTCTTGTAGTTTAATGGGTATATGTACATAATTTTTTAAAAAAATTCAATAAATGGTCAGAAAATAATTAGTAAATGGGTTAGTAAAATATGTATGTATGCGTATACACACATATACTGTGTGATATTAGTTTCCTTGGAAGTAGTCCACATTTCAAACTTCAATTAAACTTACTAACCTAACCGTTTTTAGAAGAAACATGATAGGTATAAAACTAAAAAAAAATCAATAAACTGAATTTGGCATAGAGAAGTCTGTTATAAAAGAAAAATATATATGTATTCATACTATATAATTTGATTTAAATATTTTAAGAGTTCTTAAGAAAAAAAATTATATAATTAATTTAAAAAACTATGAAGTTTTGCAATTTGGAGAATAAATGTAATACCAAAGCAATATATTATTGTTATCGAATATTTTTATTTTAACTCATTTAAGACAATGCTATTGTGTCACATCAATTTTTATTCATTACTTCGTGCGTAACTAGGTACGATAATTATTTACCTTTTTTGATTAAAGCTCTGAAAGAAAATTTGTTTGCCCACATATATTAATTTATTTGGTTAACCAAAAATGGTTTTTATTCAAAACTTGTTTGTTGATTGTAGTTGAACGAGTAATTATTTAGTTATATAACTACCTACACAAAAAAAAAAAACAAAACGTTATGTATATATGGATGTACGTAGGAGCAAAATGTAATTTACCAATATTTTCTAGAATTTTTATATGCGATCTATTATAATATTCATATGGATATTCATATTTACTACTAAAACAGTATTCTTTTCTATATTTAAAAATTATTTTATTTTTTATACAAACAATGGTAGGTACATTATACACAGTATACATATAAGTACATAATATGTATGTAGTTTTATATTTTCAAAATATTCCTAATGACAAAAATCGTAATGGAATGAATTGCAATTAAGAATGGAAAAATAATCTAGTGTTTTATAACATGTCATTGAATAAATCAAAACATTTAAATGGTATTTCAAATATTAACAATTTAATTCCATATTCAAACCCTGGTGAACCAAATGTATCATCACCAAAATAAAATTAAATTAAAATTGAACTTTCTTCTAAGCATTAAAATAAAGGAAATTTTCTATGATATACATATTTTGAATATGTTCCATTATACTACTAATTGCTATCTCGATTTGCATTTTCTCTTGCTATTAACAATCAGCCATTCTTTTATTGGCAAACTTTGTAAGTGATATATCCATTTTCTTGATATAGTTAACCATAATATTCCATATACAGCACACACAAGTGATTCTACATAATAACCATCTACAGTAATCTGACATAAGCCTCCTGTTGCAGTGCATAGATTTTTGTCTTCTTCTGAATAACAAGAATTTGCTGTTATTTTTGTATCTTCAGCACTATTATTTACACATTTTTTATATGTTAGTCCATCGATAAGCCATAAAGCTACTGTGTTGGGCCAATTTCCACCTAAATTGCAAACAGTATTGAGTAATGTCATATAAGTTCCACCTACAGCTGGATCGGAAATTCTTGCGAAAAAGGCCATAATTGATACAAACATAATATATAAGAAAATTTGATAAATGGCATAATTAATAATTAGCATAACATAATAAAAGATTGGAATTTCTTCACCACTTTTAATTATGTATGGTGTTACGGCGACAATTACCGTAGCTATAAAAGCAAATAACATTCTTGGTAGAAAAGCTTTGATATAAAATTTTAAAGGTTCTGGCCCATTAGTATATTTGCTGACAATCACTGGTAAAATAATTTGTAATGGTATTATTGGTATAGCTAACAATGCAAGTTTCTCTTTCGGTACACCAGCGTCAATTAGTTTTAAAGAACTTACGGCATCAGAAGCTGAAAATGTTACTTTCACTGTTAATAATATTATAATCAATATTTGAATTGGTTTTAGTTTCAAAATTTTTATCAAATTTTGATAACTTTCCCAAATGTTGAATTCGTGTTTTTCCATATTTTGAGTATTATGATTCTCCGGACTTTCTTTTTTCAATAATGCAATTAAACTAGTGATGACAAAAAAACAAATTCCCCAAAACCATAGAAACTGAGATAAAGTTACAATTCCTCTTTCTTCAGGAACAGCCCTAAGGTAATTGTTACAAAAAACTTTAGACTCTAATGCTATAAACACGACGTATCCTAAAAAATATCCTGCCGTCTGGCCAACACTGTTACATGTAGAAGCGTAACTCACATTACAACGTTTTAACATAGTTAATGCCCATCCATCCACTGCAATATCTTGCGTAGCAGCTAAAAAGTTCAGGGCAAAAAATATTAATGTGAGAGATTTTACATCAGGAGTAAAATTGTCTGTATTAGTGGAACCACCAATCCATTGGTCAACATGGTAGGACAAAATTACCATAAATAATCCAATTAAATATTGTGTGGGTACTAGCCATGATTTCCTTCTTCCAAACTTGGCATAGAATAATGAATCTACTATTGGAGCCCACAACAATTTTAAACTAAATGGAAAATAGGAAAAGCTAAATTCGGCTTGCTGCTTATAATTGGCTCCTCTATTTTGTAGAAGCATAGGAATAGCGGATGTTAGCCCAAGAGGAATTCCCTGAAGCAAATATAGTAGAAGCAGAAGTACTATATTTAATATATCGCCCTGTAAATTTGGATGATTTTCCAGTTTCTCATCGCTATATGGTAATAATTTTTCTTTACTATCTTCAAGCGTTTTTTGTTTTTTCCGAGCATTCAATTTTACTTCACTCATTTTCAAAAATTTAATATGCTATTTATGTAAATCAAATATTGATCACTTTGTGTTGACACGTCAGTTTTTTTAAACACAGGTGAAAATTGAAAATTTCTAATTTGTAAACAAATTTTTGAACAGCTGTTTCAACTTCTTATTAACCCTGACGTAGATGTTCTACGTATTGTGGTATTTTGTCATTCTTTATTTGGTCGTACGACAAAAATTAATTGTAAAATTTTTGTCGTAGATTTAATCTAAAATTAAATCGACAAAATTCGATGATTGTCAGACCGAAATTATCTGATGGAGATCCAGTAAATTGGATGAGAATGTGCTAATTTCTATTATTAGCGTCAGCCAAAATTTGATGTCAAACGCTGTTTACATTTATATGACTTTCATTAGAGTCAAATTAACAACCTCGTGTATCTTGTTTTTTTATTCACTTTTTATTCATTTTCAAATCAGAATTCTTAGAATTTTCTAACGGATGTTTCACTTTTCCAATAAGATTACTAATTTTTCAATTGAATTTTTGCATTTTTTCTCGAATTATCGATTGAACGTCCCACTTTGAAAAACAAAGTGAATAAACTTTGTATGCATTTTAGAAAAAAACGATATACGCAAAACCAAATAATTCTTCTTACTCGAAAATTACATTATACAAGTATATGACAGTTACTCACTTTCTTTTCACATTCTGAGTAAAATAGAGAGATCAGGCTCTTAGTTAAGTATTAAATTTTTTCGTAATATTTAAGCAGTAACTTTACTGTTTTGTTGAAAAAAATAAACAATATAAAGGAAATAAAAGGAAAAGATATGTATGTATATATTTTAAACAATAAAAATTTTTTTTCGAAAGTAGCTGTTACCTTTGGAAAGAAATTTAAAATGAGCTTGCTTGTGTATCTCATTACGACAAGTTATTTGACATTTCGGAAAAGAAATGCTCTAATTACTTCAATTTTTCGCGACAATTTTGTCTTCATACAATAAGCGTCAATTCAAATTCCAAAATTTGGCAACTGTTCCAAAATCAAACACAGATCCATTTTTGAGCAGATTAGAACCATTTTATTTAAAATTGTTTTCATAAAAAGAGCTCTGATTTTTTTTGTTCTGGCCGGAAATCTTAACTAAATTTTAATCGTTGCCGGCATCCTTGCCGACAAAATTCTGTATGTAGTCTTAGGCTGTGTTAACTAAAAATTATAATTTTGGAACGATTTGTATTTAAAAAAAACTGTGGATTTCGCTACAAGTTTTATATAAAAACAAATAATTATTTAAAAATTGTGTAATAAATTATTTGCGTATTTAAAAATAGAAAAAAGGAGTTTAAATATGCAACACACTAGTTCATCCAACAGAAGTAAAAATCACAGTCGCGGTAAAGTAAAAAGAAAGAAAGTTCATTTCCGTGATGTACTTAAATACATTTCTATATAATTTTAATTCTGTTAGGACGCTGGGGAATTCATAAAAAAAAAGACCAAGGAGAAAATGAAGTTAATTCCATTCTTTTGCAAAATTTTAAGAAATATGCCGAAGAGCTTGATGATAAGCATGATCGTTATGAAAGGATTATTAAAATATCTCGGGACATTACAATAGAATCGAAACGAATAATTTTCCTTTTACATACAATTGATATAAAGTAAGTAGCAAGAATTATTGTATAAGATTATGGATTTTTCATATTTCCATATTTTAGAAAAGGAAACTCCGACAAGGTTTTAGCTGAAGCCAAACATCGGTTACAAAATCTTTTTGCTAATCAATTTTATCTTATTGCGAAGGAATTGCATAAGATGGATGCTTATCAATATTCCCGTGCTTATTCGGCTGGCCTACAAGAATTTATCGAAGCTTTCTCGTTTTATGAATATTTGAATAAATCAAATTTGTCCAGTTGGGAAATAATACAAAACCATTTGAAGTTTGACATAAATGTAGATGTAGAGAATATAGAAAACAAAATTGAATCAGAAAATATGAAAAATATAGAATTAGCAAATACTGAGACCAAAAATACAATCGTTAGTTGCCTTGTGCAACCTACTGAATACATACTTGGACTAGCAGATGTTAGCGGAGAATTAATGAGACGTTGCATAAACTCTTTAGGAGTTGGGGATATTGAAGTTTGTTTCGAATGTTGTCGAGTGCTTCAAATTTTTTTCACAGGGTTGTAGTTTTTATATTATAAAAGGAAAATGGTTGAACTTTTCTTTTTAATAGATTCGTTGGCTTAGACACATTTCGTCAAAGAGATTTAGCTAGAAAAATATCTACATTACGTCAAAGCGTTCTCAAAACTGAACAAGTTTGCTACAATATAAAAGTGCGTGGTAGTGAAGCAGCATTATTAGGCGCTGGTGGAGAAGCAACTTATCTTTCTTTCGTGGGAGAAGAAAATGATAAAATTGATGAAGACTATTTCGATTAATTTGAATTATGATCTTTTTTAAAGGGTAAAGCCTAAAAATTTCTCTTTTTTTATATAAAGAATTTATTTATATTATATATAAAAGTATCATTGGAAAAATAAAAAGCTTTTAAAGTATTTACATTGATTAATTGAATATCTTTACATATCTTCGCTATCCTCAGTATCTTGATCTTTTACATCAACGCCTTCATCACTTTCTTGATAACCAGCAGGATCAAATTCATCTTCTGATCCTGCTGAAAAATCATCTGATGATGAATTTTCGTCAGGATATACCGCCATATACAAAACAGGCTTTTTATCTCTTAACCTTTCTTTGTGATCCAAGTTATTTTGTTTGGAGTTTGCTTTAAATATTTAGAAAGACAGGTTATTACTAAATTTAGTTAAATGTTATATGCATGTACTTACATTGATCAGGGTGTGAAAATTGTTGGAAATGAACAGGATTACGACGATAACAGAAATTTCCGTATGGGCAAATCGGAGTCCCTTTCGGGGGCTCAGGATACTCAGGGCGACGATAATCTAAATCTCCAGGATGTGCTTCTTCAACTCTATGAACTGGATTTTGCCTGCAAAAAATTTTATATGAAATATTTGCCTTAATATTTAATTCTATATGACAGCAAGCATAATTAAGGTAATGGAATTTTATCGAGAAATATAGTTTTTCAAAAAAAACAAACATTGAAATTTGAGATTCTACTAAAAACGTTAGTAATTTTTGGATAACATTCCTTACTGATGCATTTTAGAGAATGTGAGTAAAAGAAATTGCGACTTATAGTTACCTGTAACATTTGATTCCAAATTTACATGATATTCGTTGAGAAGTATTGGCTTGTGGTTCATTTTTAACAACTGCATTGATTGCAGCATCTGATACATCATTTGATCTAGTTGCATTTGAAGAAATATCTAAATTATTTCCTGTATCATCAGCACTTTCTGTCTTAATAATTTTATTCGTAAAGGAACTTTCATTTTCAGAAGCATTTGGTATAATCATTTGCGTTGCTTTAGAGCAGACTACTGATTCAGAATTATTTGTTGAATCCGGTTCCAATTTAACTATTACATCAGCTATTTGATTTCCACTTGAGTTATTGTAATTTTCACTAAAACTACATTTTTCAGTTTTTATAATTAGTTTTTCGTCCACTGCATTGGAACATATTTCCTGAAAAAAGTTTTTGTACAATGTTGTTTAATAGGATGTAACGAAGTATATATGTATGTATATAAAGTTGTGTTTCACTTAATATGAATTAATTCTTTACCTCTACAATTTTCTCTTTTTTTATATTAATTTCCACTTTATCCAATGAGATTGATTCGGACGGACTTGGTTTTTCAGGTTCATTTTGTGAAAAGTTTTCTGAAGGGTACGATTCTTTTTTACGTTTCGCCAAATCTTCGTTACAACTTAACCAGTTTGGTATTTTGCGTTTTTTCCCTAATTCTGGAATTTATTTTCAAAAATTATTTCATCAAAATTTTGTTTTCCATATTACCTTCGACTTCTTTCCCTTGTCCAAGCATAGTTCCGTATTGTGATTGAAATAAACCTAAACAGAAAAATTATTCAAAAACTACAGCTCAATTTTAATGTTTGGTATTTTTGTTGTGGATTGTGAAATGAAGAATTTAAAAACTTAAAAACACAATACATATATAACTGCTCATCTAAGTATTCATTAGGTCTGCTGTGTACTGAATAGCTTTTGACAGCTGTAATTTAAAAAACCTGACGTCCTCTGGAAGATATGGAATTATGTGGTTTGATCTTCTGAAAATAAAAATCTCTTTGATGACGTCTGTTTTTCAAATATAATGCTATTTCGCATACCTTGTAAATTTTTAGGCTATAATTGCCTTCTAAAAATTACAAATGAAGCCTTTAACTTTAATTTTACTGTTTATTAATTTCACAAAAATCTTAAAAAATTCTTATACATATCGCAATGATAAAAGAATCAAGTTATAAAGCAAATTACTATATAAAATAAAGCATGAAACATTAACTTTTAATTGTTTATTAAATACACGCTAGCTTCGTTTTTTAAGTTTTTCGGCAATGCATTAAACATTTGCCTACCCTTAGTCAGCGTTTACATGTCAATGAAAGATTGAAAATCATGATTAAGGTTGGCGAAGTTTGACGCTGTAAACATCATCAATAGATCATTTTCATCAAACTTTTGATTGACGAAAAAATAAATATTAGTTCTATTTTTATCAATCAATATGAATCCGAAAGAACATAAAGTATAAAATCAAGAAATATGCTGCTTTCAAAACCTTTACTAACCCTTCCAAAAACTGTTTGTTTGAAACTTTTGTCTTTTTCAGAACGAAAGTTATAAACAAAACAACTTCGCAAATAGAAATTTCGTGAAAATTTGTTGAAATCACTGAACCTCGGAAACCGTCGAGAGTTGACTCACACCTATTTCTTAACAAAAAATTTACTCGGTTTTGACACCCTAAACGATAGAATATGTTTTAGCCCTGATTACTGTATAAATTTGAATAAGAATAAGTAAAGGGAACTATCGATAGTTTTAATTATCGAAACTATCAATGGTTTCAAAGTCGACATAATACTATTGTCAAATAAACATCGATTCTTGGCAATTAATAAATTTTTATGGGAGAACGGAATATCGTTAAAAAATGGGCAACAACGAAATATCGTTTGGAATTTTATGTATTCCATAACATTATTTTCACACGTATACAGATTACTTTATCACATTAGTGAAAATTAGAAATTTTTGCTTAATATTTCTATGTTCTTTTATTTTATTCCAAATATTTGGTGAAGGCGCGAATTGAACTGAAACTGACATTGAGTCTCATTATATTCTTAGCATTCCTTATTTGGAATCAAGAAGAAAAAAACATGTTACTTTATGTTAAAGTTGAAGTTTAACATAAAACATATCGTTTGGATATCGAATTTGACTGAGCGTTTACATAAGCAAGCTGTTGGCATAATTGTTTCAATATATACAATAATTTTACTAATATTCTAAAATATTTCAACCTGCCTTTTTATTGGCAACCGATAAAAATTTTTTTTTTTGCTTAAACATATGACAAATTCAAAAACTTTAAAACAACAAACATTTTTTTATCGATGAAATAAAGAATGAAAAGTTAAAAAAAGAAAAATATTTACTAAATAATAAAAATACTTAAAGTTAATATTATGTACATTACAATGACTGTGTAAGCCGTTGATAAATCTAATTACAGTTGATATTTTCCAAATAATATAATTTATATACTTGTTTTGTTCATTCCATGTTTGGTTATAATTACGCTATCATGTATATACCACTATTTTATGTTACTTTACAAATTAAATGGAAGTTAATACAGAAGCAAGTTGCGTTACTATACAGCAGGTTAAGCAGGTTAGTTGGAATTTTCTATTATTTTACGTAAAAAATGTTGTAAATTGGCAACTCATATGTTTTTGACAATTCATTTGTAAGTTTATAATATTTTAGCCAGAAGTGTATTTTTGTTAAATATAATGTAAAATGTTCATCTTATGACTTATGCCTTTCTTAAATTGCAATGACAAAAAATATAGCATATGTATTTTATCTATGTAGTAGTTTTATTATCGCACGTGTTATTTCTTAATAATTTTGGAAATTTGCAGAGCTAAAAATATTTAAATATGAAAGTAAAAAAGGAAGAAAAAAAGATTAGAGGAAGCTTAGAAAGATCTTCAAAGATCAAAAAAAGAAAAGATAAAAATCATATTCAAAAAGTGGATCTTAAATCCAGTAAACCCACATTTTCTAAACTACAAGTATTAAACAGCTTAAAAAATGAGAAATCTGAAAATGGTGAGAAATTAAAACGTGAGAATGATAAGAAAATGTTTGGAAAAAGTTATCAAAAATCTAAATTCAATTCAGAGGAAAAAACGAATTGGCCTCAATTTAAAAAAGAAAAAAAGATACTAAAAATTAAACGTAAGGAAGGAAAGTATAAAGATTTATCTACTTTAATTAAGGAAGTAAAAGTTATATATGAAAAACTGAAATGCAGAAACACACCAAATAAAGATGAATTATCAGAAAAATTATTCGATTTACTTTTGAAAGCCAATTGCATGCAAAAATTTGTATTAGCTCATGATACATCAAGAATAATACAATGTTTATTCAGATATGCACCACAAAAAATCAGAAATATAATATGCTCAGGTTTAACAATACACACTTCATGTTTATTAAATTAGAATATGCACTTAAATACGGCTTTTTTTATTTTTTAGAATTATTACCCATAACTGTAAGTATGATGCAATCACGTTATGCACACTTTTGTATAACTACAATGCTTAAATACGCTAGCGAAGATGCAATATCTCAACTGATTGAAAGTTTATATGGATCTGTTATCAAACTTTGTTCACATAATATTGCTGGTAAAATAATGGACACTATTTATTTTGAAAAAGCATCAAAGAATCAGAAAATTTGTTTAAGACAGGAATTTTACTCTGATTTGCTTGTAAAAATGAAAGATTTGAATGTTCAAAAACTTAATGATGCGTATAATATAGTACAGAACTCGAAAGAGTTTATTTTGGAAAATGTGAAGAATAAACTAACACATTTAGTGAATAAAAACGCAATGGATAATTCGTTGGTACATGAAATTCTTCTGGAATACATAGAAGAATGTCGTGAAGGCAAAAGTAAAGAGAACTGTGACGAGTTTATAAAAATTTGTATTCCTGTAATACCACATTTAGTAACCACAAAAAATGGGGCAAAATCCGCAATTTATATATTTTGGTATAGTCCAACAAAAGAACGCCGGGCTATATTAAAAATTTTGAAGGATCATTTATTAAAAATTTGTACTCACGAACATGGACATCAATTAATTTTGGCAATTGTCAATGGATTGGATGACACTAAGGCTGTGAAAAAGTTAATAATTGATCCTTTGATGGAAAGTTTCCATGAAATACTTACAAATCAGTACGGAAGAAAAGTATTACATTGGCTTATTTCTCCAGCAGATAAAGAAATTTTCCACCCAAATTTTATAAACTTTTTAGATAACGGACTAATCTATAGTAAAAAAGACAAAAAAATGAGAAGAAACGAAATATTTGAGCAAATAGAGCAGTTAATATTAGAAAAAATTAAAGAAAACCCCAGAATTTGCATTTCAAATAGCAGCATCGGCTTACTTGTAAGTGCATTTTTAAAAGAAATTTCAGGTGATAAAAGTCGGGAAATATTTCAATTAATATCAATGGAAATATCTTCACCAACCTGGAAAGTTGAAAATTGCGTCGAAGAATTAGCAATTGAGGATACTGGGATGCATCATGTACTGAAAAAAATTCTAAAGCAAGATATTACAAGAAAAGAAAAAGGGGAAGCAACTTTGGCTGAAGAATTATTAAAAAATCTTTCTGACAATACAATTGGGTTGTGGATTGCTAAAAACCGGGGCTGTTTTGTATTGATTTTATTGTTTGAAGCATTAGATAAAGAAAAGCAAGAATATTTCAAAAAAAATTTTAAATTACACACGAATACTTTGGAAAAGTCTCCACATACTGGAGCTAAAATATTATTGCAAAAAATAAAAAGTTAATTCCATTAATTTATTATTTAATATCTTTATTTAATTCAAAATTGATAAGCACTGACTTTTTTACGTTTTGATTAAAATAAATGTTATCAAGCAATTTATATTACTTTTAATTAAATAAGTTTAGTTCGAACGAGATGATGACTTTGCACGTTTTTTAGCCTTTTTAGTTTTGTCAGATTTTTTCTTCTTTTTTTCCCGTTTTTTTTCATCATCATTTTCTTCGTTTGAGCTATCTTTAGAACGTTTCTTTCGAGTTGAAAGTTTAGTATTGTTGGCCACATTAACAACTGCTTCAATAATCTTTTTAGCAGCAGTAAATTGTTTCAACTTTTCATGTTCTTCTAGTTTAGCTAAAGTTTCTTGCTTAAGTTTTTCTAATTGTTCAAGTTCTCTAGCAGTTTTTTCTTTTTCGATTTCCTCAAGTCTTAGCTTCTCTGCACGTTTTTCCTCCTCTTTGGCAATTTCTTTTCTCATGTGATCTTTAAATAGTTGCAAAGCTTCAGCTCTTTTCAACATTTTTTCCTTGGTTAATCTATCCTTTTCAGCTTCAGTGTTTTTAGGAGGCGAATTTCGTTCAATTTCATCTTTTCTTTTTTCTGTTTTTGGGGATCTAGATTTCGAACGCGAAGATCTTCGATTAGTAGGCGTTTTCGATCTTCGTGATCTTCTATTGCGAGGGCTTTCATCCCGTCTTCTTTTAGGAGATCTAGAATTAGATCTTTTCCTATCTCTCCAACGGTCATCACGACGTTCAAACGAACGTGATCTTTGCCTATATCTACCAGAAAAACTTCGATCACGGCGATTGGATATATTACCTCGTCGAATAGGGGATCGAAAGTTTAAATTGCGCCTTTCACGGCGATCTGTAGATTTTGATCTTCTATCTCGGTTCCGGTTTCGACTTCCACTTCGACTTGTACGACGATTTCGACTCCTGCTTTTACTTCTACTTCGATCTCTCCTACTTTTCTCACTTACCTTCGATGTATCAATTGATTTGTCTTTTTCTTTGATTTTATATTTTTCTTTATCGTCTGATCTGATTTTTGATTTGCTTTTTTGCTTCTCATCTACATCACCCTTATCCTTTTTCTTAACTTCAGAATCAACAGCAATATCTTCGTTATCACTTCCTCCTTGTGCCTCATAATCTAAGGCGTTCATGTCGACTGACTTACGATTTTCCTTATTCTCGTTTTGCCTTTTCAATTGTTCCCTTAAATTTTCTTCTTCTTCACATTGTTTTTTCTCCATTTCCCGTTCAACCGAATCTTTGCACTTATTATCATATGTTGTTGAATGCGATAACTCATAAAATGATTTTTTAGACTCTTTTGCTAAATCTTCATGTCTTTTTTTTCTTTCAGCGACACGCCTTTCGATTTCACGCTCACGTTCTTTTTTTTCTTGCTCAATTTTTTCAAGTTCCGAAAATTTAATAGTTCGCTTTTGCGCTTGCTTCCAATGAGGAGGAGTTTGGCTTTTTGTTCGACTACGGGAACGAGAGGGAGTACGATATCTCTACAACAACAAGAAGTAAATTAATATTTTTATTTAGAGTTAAAAACGCAATTTCTTACAAAAACCCCACGACCTTTGATCGCTCGACCACTTCGGGACATGGGTATTCTTCTTTTTGACCAACCAAATGAGCTTCGAACGTCCACTCTACGGTCACGATCTCCATTTTTGCCACGCTCCCTCGAGTTTCTCCGATTTCGCGATCTTTTTTCAGAGTCCTCTCTCTTTCTTGATTCATTATCTTTATTAATATCACCGCCTCTCATTAAAAATTTATTTGTAACCTTTGAAAGAAAGAATGTTAATTCGAATGAGATTCAAATATAAAATTTTAATATTTTCTTGCCTCCGGTATTTCATTCGGATCAATTTTCGTCACAGTTACCATTGGATGAATTTCTCCCTCTTCAGTTTCATTATCGTCTTCTTTCTGATTGACCTGATCTGGTTCTTCTTTTTCGACGCTGCAAATTATTTGTGAATTTTAAAACCAATATCAAAAGCCAATAAACTTACTTTTCGTCTTTTGATTTCTTTTTGTCCTTTTTTTTCTTTTTTTCCTTCCGTCTTTTTTTTTCAGAATCTGATTCTTCTGTAGAAGAATTATCATCATTGGATGAAGCATGTTTCTTTTTTTTTTTATCTTTTTTCACTGCAAAAATTAAAAAAAAAAAAAAACATTTTAAAATAAATTGAAATTTAAGAAAACCACCAACCTTTGAGTTGTTTAACGAGCTGTCCACAATTTGAAATTACGGCATCTTGTAAAGGACGGGAATTTCGATCTACTGGTAACTGCTCCAATTGCCTTACCAAATCATGTCCGGCAACAACATGTCCGAAAACAACGTGCACACTAGAAGATATAAAATATGTCAGAGCTTTTGGATATTAACCTTCTATAATTGTACTTACTTGTTAAGATGTGGTGCGGGTTGCGTAGTACTACAATGAGAAAAACAAAAGAACAATATTGGTTGGATTTCTTTGTTACAGTTACTAGTGTTGATCATGTGTTGAAGTAAAAATATGAGAATATTTTAACAACAATACTACTTATTTTTATAATTTTTTTTTAATAAAGGAACATTCTGATTGATTTTTATTAGCTGAATTTAGTAATATGAAGATCTGGCTGGTTGAGCCATCCTTTTGTAATCCCTAAGTTAAGTGGATAGTAGTGAATGTAGTGTAGCTAGCATTTTTTAATATTTTACAATGTGGTTTGTTTAACACAATCAACACTTTGCTTTATAAATGTATCCTTGATTAAAGATCATCCGCAATAGGATTTTTTAACATTTAAAATCAATTTTTTTTACGTGTAAGTTCCACCCAGTATTTTTAAACATAGCTAAATTTGTATATCATAAATTATGAAGACATATTTAAGTAAATAGACGTATCAATTAAAGCAAAAAATTAATGAAATTGTGATTATTTAAAATATATAAAACGATAAATCATCTCAATAGACATTGTTATCTATTTCAAAAAACTTACATAAAAAATTGAGACCCATTTGTATTTTTTCCTCTATTAGCCATAGAAAGCAAAAATGGTTTGTCATGTTTTAATTCAAAGTTTTCATCTATAAAAAATTTAAATGAAATTTGTAACTTTTTGAAAAAGAGTTGAAAATTTCTTACCGTCAAAAGTTCCTCCAAATATTGATTCACCCCCTGTTCCATTTCCTGCAGAGAAATCACCTGACTGAACCATGAAATCTTTAACAACTCGATGAAAAATTACATTTTTATAATGTAATGGCTTGTTCGTCGTTTTTCCCAAACCTTTTTCCCCTGTACATAAGGCTCGAAAATTTTCAACTGTTTTCGGTACGATATCATTAAATAGCTCAATTGTAATCTAAAAATAGTTAATTTCTATCATTTTTCATAAGAAACTTATAAATCACATCTCGAAATGCGAAGTATAAGATTTTTGAAGTAATTTATGAAGCAAACTTTTTAAGATGAATTTATTAATAAGATTTATCTGTTTTTCCTTCCTTAAATTATACTCACCCTTCCACAATGTAATCCACCTAAGGATATATCGAAAAAACACCGAATTCTTTGTTTTTCTTCATCCGCATTTACAATCATATTTAAATTTTCGGAGAATTTAAAGATATTTCCCTGTATGATCTTAAATTTTGCTATTTACCCTGGATTTATTTTTTAAAAATTGCAATGGCTACAAACTCACTCTATGAAAAACCGACATCCGAAATCAAGCAAATGCAAAATAATTAATAAAATGGTGACAATATGACATATCGCAAGATGTCAATTTTGAATTTTGAACAATACATGATCTAATAAAGACAAGATTTGCTGGATAATTTTGACTTTTAAAAATGTAACGTCACCGCGGCCGCGTCTATTGTTTTATAATTTAAATAAGACTGAAGAAAACCTATATGTACGTATGAGACTAATATAATGGTACCCATCTTTTTTTTTCTTTAGTGGGATTTTATATTTACCCATTTGCCGTAAAAAGTTTTATGAATAATTTGGAAGCTCACATTTTTTTGACACGTTATTTTAGCAAAACAAGTGACAATTTGACATAAGATTGCTAGAACAACTCCTTTACAAGAATATTATAATACATGAAAACAACTATTTGTAAAAGTTCATAAATTTTGTCATATTGTATACAATAACTTGGACGTGACGTGATGGTATTTTCCCATACGACACGATACGGTCACCAGAATATGGGTGAATATCTATACAAATATTTATTAAAATGTTCTGCAAAATTATTGAAAAAATTATAATATAAATATTAGGTCTGTCTGGGATTTAACTTGCAAAAACTTTAAAAAGAGAAACAATGACGAAATTTCTCTCAAAAACTTTTAAAAACTTTATAAATAGGTGATAAATGTCAAATTTCAAAGTATTTATCAAACTTAAACAAATATAAAAAACTAAAAATTTCGATTTTAGATTATAAAAGTGTTAAATTAAGAAAAAACCAGTTGTGAATTCATTTTTTTTATTTTATTTTTAATTGAAAAGTTTTGAAAAAAAATTATTATTAATGAAAAATTTTTGTAATTGAAACCTTCGGACCTAATCAAGAAAAACATATGTTTCGGCAGCTGTAAAATTTTCAAAGTTTTTAAAAAATGGATTTTTACTTCACAAAACTTTAAACATTGAGAAAATGACAACGACATCATTTTCTCTCATTTTTATTCAAAAAGTATTATCCCAGATCCTTTGCATGCAAAAAGTGAAGTTTTAAAAGTTTTTAAAAACTTTTTTATACTAGCAGACCAATGTCTTTGGGGCGACTTAACGTATATAACATCATACACAGTGAGTTTGTTTCGTTGTTTCTTTCATTTAATTTTAAAGTTTTAAAACTGATACATTCATCATTTGGATAATGATATTCAGGGCTGTCTTTTAATTTTTCGATCTTATTGGGGAGCAGAAATATTCAAAAAAGGAAGCCATTTTCAAAAAAGTGGGGCCAATTCCTATATTTCATAAAAAAACAATTTCTTTATGGTTCGAATACTAAAAAAAATTGGAAAAACAAAAACTTTGAACAAATTAATAAATAAATTCGAATTAAAAAATATCACAACAAAAATTTAAATTCAAAATAATATTTTTTACATGAAACTTCATATACGTTTTTTTTACATTATACGCTCTAGTTATCAGAAAATACCTTGAAGTATTAAAAAAAACATCATTAAAATGATTATGACATTTTTTTCTGATCATATGTTTACTGCCTTATTCCTTTCCTTATACGTAGATTAAAATGGTGTTGAAAAAGCGAACTTGCAATATTATCGTCTGTTGAAAAATAAACATAATACAAACATATTTCATCTGCCGACGTCGAGCAATTTTATTACAATTTGGTTATTTGACATTTTGACTAACTAACTGAATAATTTGACTGCAAAAAGATAGGTGGCGGCTTTTGAATTAGCTGGAAAACTATATGTACATATATAATTTCGTTAGCCAAGGGTTTGTCAACAAATTTTTAAATTGCCAGAAAGTTTTTTTTTATTTAGAAATTACATTTTCTATTATTGTTATGGTCTGCATAAGGAAAAAACAAAATCGGAGCCAAAATGCAAAGGGATGAGCCGGGGACAAATTTTCAAATCGGAGCCAAACGACAGCCTTTAGATAACCACGGATTAAGTTTAATAAAAGTAATAACACTGAGTATGTAAAAATTAGACTTTATCATAAAATAAAACGCTTAACATTAGATTTTTTTTTATATTTTTGTTATTCTGACCAACTAATGCTATAAATTGAATAAGGATTTAGCAATCTTTGATTCCTTGAATCTTCTTATACTAAGTTTTGATCAGACAGGGCTTCGTTCTTTTTAAGCGTCGTAAGTCGCTCTTATTACTGTGGATAAGTTTCTGGATTTCCACTTTGGTGTGTGAGATTCTATTTTTATGTTTAACTGCCGTTTTGATAATTTCGGTTTCGACTAATTCAATTAATAAATCTTTATGTATATCATAACTTCTCATATACCAAGGTGCATTGTTAATGTTTTGAAGCACTTTGTTTGTTTTACGCACCCCCAGATTTGTATGCCGTACATCCGCACAGGTTTTAGCACTGGTTTATGTATTAAAATTTTATTTTTGGTTGAAAAATCGAAGTTCTTGTCTAAAAGCCAATGTAATTTTTTATACTATGTTAAATTTATGTTAAATTTATCTTTTTTAATTTTTTTATACTCCTTCCACCTTAATTTGGTGTCCAGAGTCATTATTAATTATTTGGCACTATTTGAGTACGGTACCATTGCACTATTCACTTGAATAGGTAATTGCGATATTTTCCTATTTGTAAAATTAACAAGTGTAGCTTTAGCTTCATTTAATTTTATTCGCCACTTTTTTACCCAATTTTCCAATTTTTGTAGATTGCTTGTCCAATTTTCCAATTTTTGTAAATTTAATACTTGGATCTGCGTTATTGAGGAGCGTGGTGTTGCCGTTGACACATTGTTATTTTGAGGATATGTCCTCGACAATATAAGGTACAGTGTCCAAGCACACTTACTTGGAGAACTCCTGCTTATACTTATGTAAGTTTGGAATATTCGCAATCATAAGCACTCTAAATTTTCTATCTGTTAGGTAAGAACTTAGTATTTGATAGTGTTGTATCGATAGGTCTCTATGGAGTTAGTATTTTAACTCAAACTCGATTGAGAGTAATGTTCTTTCTAACTAAAATAGCTGTATCATCTTTAGCCTTATTTTCAAGATGTGGCGTATGATAAAACAGATACATATTTATTAGTTGTTATATAAGATTGGTAATTGAAATCAGTTTGAAACGTGTGTGCTGTAGATGAAGAAGTTAACGTATGTTGTTCTTTGCTATTTCTCTTGTTCTTCGATTAAACTTTTTTTGTTACTCACTTTGTTGGACTTTCTTTGTTTATGATATTTTTTTCCTATCTTACAGCCTCTATAGCTTTGGTGATCACCTAAGCCGTTTGCACATCTTGCACTGTATTCTTTTTTTAGCTCACTTGTTTCAGTTGGGTGATTTGCGACACATTTAACGCAAGTATATTATCTTTTGCAATAGTGTTGTGTGTGGCCAAAGATTGGACATCTTTTGCATTGAGGGACCTAATCTATCCATCTAACCAGCACTGCGCCAGCATCTAACCAAAACTATTTTGTTTTCCGGTCAATAATTCAGAAATATTAAGAAAATATAATTTATTTTAATTTTTAAGAAATAATTATGTATGTCTAAATTAAAAATACATGTGTATGTATATACATATGTAAGTATATTGTTGAAAAATTAATATAATGTTTGTTTAAAATAACTCACATAAATTTCTAATTATAATTATATTTTCAAACCATTTCTGGCAACACTTTTTATGTTGTAAAAAATAAAAACAAAAAACAACAATATTTAACGTTGGCTTCAAACATTACTATTATATTACTAGATATATGGGTACCCATGATTTGAATATGTGAGTTATTAATAATTTTTACAGAAAAATGTATGTTTTTTTTTATTTTATTTTCTCTATTTATTTAATATAACTATTTATACAATCTCATATTATTATTACTTCCTTTTTTGTTTATTTATTCGTATATCGTTATACATTTTAAACCCGTTTCAAATTAGTAGTATTGCCCTGTAGAAGGCTAAGACGGAAATTGTCGTTACTCCTCAAATTGTAGCTGTGATGTTTGCCCGCATAATTTTATTTTTCACATAAATAATTATGATAAATTATATGTTTAATTTTGAAAACAAGAACGAGCACATTTGTTTTAATTTTCTGCTCTACCGTTAGCCATTTCAGCGTTTTAAGCATAAAGTTAATTGACGTATATCTAGAAACTTTCAGGATTCTCCGCATCGCCTTGTTATGCATTCTTTGAAGTCTACCCTTTAATTGTTTTGTGGCCATAAAAGGGATTAACAAGCAATATTAAAGATGTGGCTTAATTTTATATTGTATATATGTATGTATGGCATTTATTATTGTCAGTTTTTTTTAATAATTCTAAAATAATTTAGCCGTTTCGAAATTTTTTACAAATATAATCAATATGTCCAACGAATTTAAGATTGCTGTCGAAAATAACACCTAAATATTTAATTTAATCAACCATTTTAATTTTCTCACCATCTACTATTTCCACTTTTTTATTAATTAACGTACTTTTTGTTTTTCCAATATTTAATTTAAGCATGTTACTTTTTGACCAATTATCTATTTAGTTTATTAAAATCATATTTTAGCTTCCTTTCACACAGTCTTGTACGTCATTGCCAATTATACATATGTATGTATATAAAAGTGTATGATCTATAAGTATGTAAAAAAATTACAGGGGAATTTTATCTTGGATAGTTTTCAAATAAGTTAAAATTTGAAAAAAGTGTTTTAAGGGTATCTTCATAATCTTCTGCAACAGTTTCGCTAAACTAGCCAATACACCTTATATGGTCATACTTATATGGTCACTTAATAGGTCATTTAAGCGCCATAATGATAGGTTTGAATAAAATGAATTTAATTTAAATCAAATTTCTCTTGGTCTTGATATGTTACATTAAAAAATTTTTCTACTATTACAAAAAAAAAAAAATCTGTGCTTAATTTTCATTTTTCATTCCACTTCAATTCGATTTAAACATTTTACAACATAAATACATACATATTTGTTTTCCAAGCATTTTTTTTCTTGATTTTTATATTTTTAAGAAAACCATATACTATAAATTTTTGTTTTGGAACTGCTTGTTTGAAGCATTACTACTTTTCAATAAACATGTACCATCCCATATAAAAATGTCCAAAATAAAACATATGTACATAATCCTCCTAAAAATCCATTCGTAAGTAAGTTTCGTCTGCTAACGAAATATTTTTGCCATGTTGAGCCTGATTTCAATAAAATTAAACCCCATAAGCCCAGGGCCGATAAAATATAAAATAAAAATCCAATTATTCCAGTCAGTCCCAAAATTCCTTAAATCGAAATTCTAAGACAAGTTCTAAAAATATGGTACATGTATTAACAAAACCTACCTGCACAACATCCTGATAAAGCGCACAAGGAAGTTTTGCAATAATCTACTGCCGATGCATTATTTCGTATTGCATATTCACTATATGCGATTATTTCTCCACTTTTAAGTTCCTTAGTTTTTAAGTTATTTGTCATTCTAATATTTTATTAGCTTTTTAGGTTTATCTTCCAGTAAAAGAGTGTTTTCTTTACTTTAAACTCGAAATTAATTAAAACATGACACTATTAAAATGAAAACATGACATTATGATAATAATTGACAATCATTACCGAAAATGTGACATAACTGATATCTTCCATTTAAATTTAGGTAAAGCAAAGTTCATATACATACGGTAATTTTTGAGAACACGTACAGTTATGTTACAAGCAAAAAACCGTGAAATTTTTTCCGTATTCAAAAAATTAGTTATTCAAGATTTATTTTGATTTAACATTAGGCTCCTTCACGAGATAAAAATTAAAAAAAAACTCGTTTAAATTTTAATAATAAATCTGGCTACTTTTAAAATAACAGATGCGCCGCTATTTGACTTATGGGTTATTACGTTGAAAATTTTAGAATAAAATCCATTTCGTATACTGTTAATGTAATTTTAGTATTTATTTTAATGTAATTATTTATTAAGCTAAAGTTTGAAATAAAAACTACCTTTGACATTTTTAGTTGCTAGATTTGTATTGAATAATAGAAAAATTTTAATTTCTGTACTTAGGCAGTTTTTTCTTCACAGCGTGGAATGTCATTAACAAAATAATTTCGAAAACAGTCAATGCAGCAACTAAAATGAAAGCTAGTTTAAAAAAATTTTAAAAAATCTTTATTTTGACATTTGAATGATATCTAAATTTATTCGCATATCTTTTGAATTTATTAATTTAATCCGTGAAACAAACCTATAAATTAAGAAGAAATGAACTTATCCGATCTTAATATAGGCAATGGACTTTTATACGCAGGATTTAATCAAGACCATGGTGAAAAATCTTTGGAGTAAATAAGGCACTAGTTATAAAATAATTTCTTGCAGGGTGTTTCGCTTGTGCTACAGACACTGGATTTCGAGTTTATAATTGTGACCCACTAAAAGAAAAGGAGCGGCAATATTTCTCCGAAGGTTTTTTTTATTTCTTATTTAATTATGACATATTCATTGATATATTTAGGAGGTTTGGGACATGTTGAAATGCTTTTCCGATGCAATTATCTGGCGTTAGTTGGAGGGGGTATTCGACCACTCTATCCACCAAATAAAGTTATTGTTTGGGATGATTTAAAAAAAGCGCCAGCTATTTCAATTGATTTTAATCAGCCGGTTAAGGCAGTGCGCCTTAGGCGTGATAGAATTGTTGTTGTTTTAGAAGGAGTTATAAAAGTTTTTACATTCACACAACAGCCTCAACAGTTACATGTTTTTGAGACAAGTACAAATCCACTAGGACTCTGTGTGCTGTGTCCGCATAGTAATAAAAGTTTATTGGCTTTTCCAGGAAGGCGTAATGGTCATGTGCAGGTACTTTTGAAGTATTGAAATGGATTAGCAAAATTATAATTCCATAACTGTTAGATAGTAGATTTAGCAAATACAGAAAGAGCCCCTTTAGATGTAAATGCTCATGAAGCAACAATAACTTGCATAGCTTTAAATTTGCAAGGTACACGTCTGGCAACAGCTAGTGAAAAAGGAACATTGATTCGCGTTTTTGACACTGAAAATGGCAAAAGAGTCGCTGAATTAAGAAGAGGAAGCAACCAAGTAAGTTTTAAAATATGTTTTGATTCTAGCAGATCTGCAACTATATTATGAATTTTAAATAGGCAACAATATATTGCATTAATTTTAATCACTCATCAACTTTGCTGGTAGTATCTTCAGATCATGGTACGATACATATTTTTAATTTAGAGGAACCTAAGCAAAAAGAGTTGAATATTCCAATGATACCCAAATATTTTTCCAGTCAGTGGAGTTTCTGTAAATTTTCTATACCACAAGGCCCTTGCATCTGTGCGTTTGGAACTGATTCAAACTCTGTAATTGGTAGGAATACTTACACTTTTCTTAAATAGAAATAAAGTAAAAAGTAAATAGTGACGAATCTCGAAATTTTTATTTTTTTTAGTGATATGTGCTGACGGTCATTATTATAAGTTTCTATTTAATAACAAAGGGGAATGCAGTCGAGATGTGTGTACTCAATTTCTTGAACTAACCGATGAACAAACATAAACAATGGAGTTAATTTAATAACAAAATGTTTAAGTTAATTTTTTTATTTTAAAATAAATACATGTAAGTTAAAATTAGTTCTTCAGAAAAAAATTGCAAAATAATGCAATGTATACTATATTATGTCCACAGTATGATAATACTTGCTATACATGTTTATATATATCACAAAAAGAAAGAAAATTATTAATCTTCTATAAATAATAAAAGTTCAAGCTAATTATTTTATGAAATTGTTTGTCATAAATTCTTTTAACGAATTGTTCAACATTTTAGTTGGCTATACACATTTATCACTCACTTTCAACATCTAAATTAACCGTATACCAGTCATATCATCTCCATATTTTACATGTATTATCTTTAGAAGCTGTGACTACAATATCCCCCTTATAGTTGAACCCACATGAAAAAACATCAGATTCGTGACCGGCTAGAACTTGGGAACAAACTCCAGTATCTGAAAACCACAACCTGGAAGTTTTATCTGCTGAGGCGGTTAAAAGCAAACAACCAGAAGGACTGAAACACACCTACATGAAATTATTGTTAACTTTAAATATAACTTTATTAATTTAAAGAGAACTTTGGAAACTTCGTCACTATGACCAGTCATTATAGCTGATAAATTAAGGTCTCCTTCAATGCTCCAAACCTTTGCAGTAGTATCACTACTTGAAGTTGCAACTCTTTTGCCGCAATAATCAAAAGTAATATCCAAAACTTCATCCTCATGTCCCCTAATTAGAAATAAGCTCTGATCTCCAATAAGGCTTCTAATATCCCAAATTCTGGCTGTTCCATCAAGTGAACTTGTTGCTACCAAATTTCCCGGAAAATTCCATACACAATTACTGAGTGCTGCTGTGTGTCCGTTTAAATGCGCTATTGCTCTAAAATATTCGTCATTTTTTAAATCAATATAAAATATTAAAATGATATGTATATGTATGTAGTTCGGTATAAATAAAATATACTCTTTCATTCTGGTATCCCAAATAAAAGCAGTGTTATCAAAAGATCCAGTTAAAATTAGCTGCCCTTCCCTGCTATATTTCGCTGCTATAACTTCACCTGTATGTTGATCTAAAACTCCAATTTCTTGGGCAGTTTCTACATGCCAAATACGTCCAGTTTTGTCCATAGATCCTGTAACTAAAACATCAAAATTGTTGGGATTAAATTCAGCAGAAACAATTTCTGCTGAGTGTCCGTAATATGTATTTAAACACGAAGCATTTGAACAACTCCAAATTTTTGCTGTCTTATCGAATGATCCAGTTATAATTTTATCACTAGATTACAAATTTATTATATAAAATAAAATAATTTTTACCTAAATAATTCAATGAAAGATTATATTTTACCAAATTGGATAATTAAATCCAACAGAGAAAACCACATTTTCATGTCCCCTGAAACAACGTTCCTCAGTTCCTGAAGTTGTGTTTATTAAACGGCATGTTCGATCATAACTTCCCGTTAAACATTTGTCGCTTCTATCAAAATTTATGTTAGTAAGTGGTAATATATGAGATTGTATAGTTTTGTGTAAATAAAATTTGATTTTAGTTGGTTCTCTTAATTTCTTTTGAATTTTATCTAAAGCATTCCGCAAAGGTATGTACAAATCGGACGTAATTATATCATCATTGGCAATTATATATTGTGTCAATTCTTCAATATTAGTTCTAAAAAGGGTAATTTACAGCTTAATTTACATTTTAGGGTAAAAAAATTACTTAACATTCAAATCTAGCAAATCTATATGTTTTATTTTTTCCTCTGCTGCTAAAGGCTTATAGCATACAGCTATTCCTAGAATTATCAAAATACAATTTAATCAATAAGTATCAATATATAGTAAGTGCAAATTATAGTAACAAGTCTCACCAGGAGGGTAATATCTTATACAAATCTTTTTCCAGAACATTTTTCAAACAATGTGTTTCAGTAACTATCTTTGTTATACTTATTTTCATAAAATTGTCATTGCATGATTTATATTGAGGGTGATTTCAATAATCCATTTCATATACAAATGTATGTACATAAAGTATATACTTATTTATGTAGGAAATGTTATTTTAAAAAATCTGAGACGTTATAAGTAAATTTGTTTGATCGATATTTACGATTTTTAATGTGCTGTACTACACTGTTGAAAGCTTAAATTAGAATGTTTTGAAAATAAATTTTTTGCAATTATTGCAAAATTTTTAATTATAAGATAAAAAGCAAAATTTTACGTTAAGTTTTTGTGATATTTATTAAATAATTTTAATTACTATAATGTAGAAAAAATTTTGAAATATTTAATTGATTTTTAGCTAATAAAATTAGTTCTCTAAATGCAGTATAATTAACATTTTGTTAAGATATTGCTACAAATCATCCTTTTTCATCATCTGAAATTTCTATTATATCATGTAATATACGTCTCCTTCTTTTGTTTTTTGGTTGTATATTTAATAACTTTTTACATTTTTCACGTTTTCGTTTTTGTAATATAGCTTCCGCTTTCGATAACGGTGACATTTCACTTTCCTCACTTTCACTAAACTCTTCGTCGCCAACTATAAAGGAATCATTACAATCCAAGATATCATCCGCATCATTTGCTGGTTGAGATAAAATTTTTGACAAATCATTGTATTGACGGGGCGAAGGAAATTTGAAACCATTATTTCGTAATATTTGAGGACTCCTGAAATAAAAAAATTTTAAAATCGCATTTGCTTGAAATCAGTTTAAATTACTTTGTTGTTTGTATATATTTAAGATAAATTTTAGAGTCCAGAAAGTTTTCTGTTTCATCATCTTTTGCAATAATAGAATCATAGGCATCAGACTCATTGCCTTCACTTTCTTGACTATTCAAACTGCTGTGAGCCGCTTCATCATCTATGAAATTACATCTCTTCAACCGCGTTTTTCTTTTAACTCTTAATTTCTGTCGACTTCTGTTGCATTTTTCTTTTAAAGGAGTTGAAGAAATTTGAATGTTAGTTGATTGCAGCCCATTGTGACATATACTGCTTTCCAAGTCTGAAGAATCCGAACTAAAAATTATCTTAAAGTTTTTTTTTACTGGCTTAATTTGTGAAGTGCTATTGATATTTTGAGTTTCATTTCCAAGATTATCCTCCTTAAAACCGTCCCAACTTAATTTTTTAAGAATTTTTTCTGTTGAATTTGAATAACGCGTTTCACACGCGTTTTGTAATTTTAAGCGACTTGTTGTACGTTTTATAAGCGAAGGTGATATTTCATCAATTGCTACATCATTCCTTTTTTGATTACCTTTTGGAGACATACACATTTTATTTTTGGCAATAAAAGAATCATTCATACCATTTATAGTTGCAGTTACTTTTTTCATATCAACATTTACATTTTTATTACTTGTTATGGACTGCTTGGAATATATTTTATTATTCAGATTTTCTGTATTTTCAATATTATTTTTGAAATTATTGCGACCTTCAGCAGATATGTTTTCAAATGTGTCAACGTTAAACATATAATTTTCCTCTTCCTCAAACGGTTCTGCAAAGTCGTTGATATCAAAATCTTCTAGTTCAGGATTAGTCACGTTAAGTTTGTTTACAGTAGATTCTTTTTTTCCTACAATTTCTAAAATTTGACTTATTGATATCATAGATTTTTCATCAAATTCTTTTTCTTTGCTGAAATTTTCAAATATATTATCAGTATTATATAATGTAGTACATTTATTTGTGTTGCTCACAGGGTTTCCTTCTATTTCGCATTGATTATTTATAAAATCTAGCTTATTTTCATCATTACTATCCGATTTTGTATGTAGAATATTTTGTTTTAGACCGGCAGTTTCGGAAAAGTTATCAGAATTTATTTTCTCACAATTTTTTATTTCATATTGTCGCTCAGTGTTTGTGTCAATATTTTCATTTTCACCAAAAACGAAATCAAAATCGTCATCAAATAAATCTATTGAAATTTCACTACAAATTTTTTCTGGAAGTATAGATTTTTTTAATTCTGCAGCTTTTTTGTTTGAGTTATGTAATGAAATTTGATTTTGATTTTTTGCTGTAGATTTATTATCTAATATCTCTTGATAATTTATATGCCTTGGTCTTGGTGGGTTTCTCGAAAATTGCTTTTCTTCTTTTGATAAGAGTTTTGGCGTAGATGTGACTGTAGGAAAGTTGTTATTTAGCAATATTTTCTTGTTTTCAACCTCTTCAATGACATCTGAATTAGATTGAGCTTGGTTTGAAAATTTTGAATCAGATGTCGAATGGCTTTCAATTTTAATATCATTTGACATATTCCACTGACTTGCATACTTTGAATCACATTCGGAATGATCAAAATCCTGATCGATGTCTGGTAATACCGTATCTTCTGTTATTGATAGTTTTTCATCATTTTTATTAGTTTCATTCGTAATATTTAATATATCAATGGATTCAAATTTTTCCACATCTTCATTAATAAAGTCATTTTTGTAAACAGTGTCAAGCATTTCAAAAGGTTTTCTTTTTTTTAAACTTTTAAACGAATCAATAACATTTTTGGTGACATATGCTTTGTAATTGAACAGCATTTCTTCTTTACGTTTTTCTTGTTCATAACTTTTTATTAAATATTCGATTTCCATTTTATTTCCTAGAACACTTTCAAGTAATTCATATGTTTCAAGAATCTTTTTCTTAGAAGTGTTTATAGTATGTTTACTACCATTTTCTTCGTCTGTAGCCAATAACCCATTCACAGCATTAAATTTCTCTTTTATATATTCTCCATTTTTTAGTAAAACATACCTTTTGATAGATTTATTGATCACCTTGGATTTCAATAGTTCATCCAAATTTTTAGTGTAATCACATGTTTTTATATCTTTATCTAACTGTCTGGTCATATAATTAAGTTTCTTGAATTTGTTTTCTAATTCTCTCACAGCAGATGTGTTCTTAATTTCATTTTCATATTCAGTATTGTCTAATTGGGTTGTAACATAATCTTTGTAAAAATTACTCATACATGCGATTTCTTCCCGTATTTCTAAAATAGTGTTTTCTTCGCTTTTACAATCCCTTTCACTTATTTGTTCCATGTCAAATATAGCTAGTTCTCCTTGTGATAAATCTGGTTGAACTTGTTTAAAATAACTGCGTACATCCTTTTTCTGGAAACAGATTTGTGTTTTTTTACTTTTACTTTTATATTGTTTTGCCACCTGTTTGCAATTTTGCGTTTTTTCCGTACTTTGCAATTCTTTCATAAAAACTTCTATACATTTGGGATCAAATTCTGGTGGGACCAACCTTGGAGACCGTTTATAAAAAGCTTCCTTAATTTCGCGACTTTTCAATAATTTTAAGGTTGTTTTGTCTTTGTTAGCTAGAACCTCTTTTAATATTAAATGTTCCTTTCCTTCGGCAGCCAACATTATTACCTGCCCTTGTCGACCCCGGCCCGTTCTACCAACGCGCTGGATTAACCTGACTGGATTCTTCGTACTTATATCGAAGCAAATTATTAAATCAACCTCTCCAACATCAATACCTTCCTCAGCTACAGATGTAGCAATTAAAGTATTACACACTCCTTCACGAAAATCTTTCATAACTTTTAACTGTTGTGCTTGGGTAACAGCACGTATTGACCCTGTTCCACCTTGTCCTAAAATATGATAAAATATTTATGTAAAAAATTTAGAAAAAGCAAAATATTTACCGACGAAACATTTTGATTTGATAACTGAACAATTTTGATGTAGTATACGATGCATCAACATGACTGATTCACGAAATTCACAAAAAATTATTACTTTGGACTCAGGCTTCTCCTGCAAAAAATGTTTATAAAGCTTTTTTCATTCACTAAATTTCTAGATTAAAATTACTTGAAAATGCTGAATTAAAATGTTTCTAGCGTACTCAAATTTCGGATGTCCGAAATTCGAATCAATCGGTAAATCAGGAATATTTCCATTGGGGATTGGATTATCATTATACAATAAAGGATTCGTTCCTGTCTGCTGTCGTAGTTTTTCAACAAATTTTTTTATATTTTGGTCTAGGCTAACGAAAAATTTCTCCTTTTCAGAATGACCTTCGTCAAAGTAGTTTAATAAAACTCTAGTTCCATGCCTCTCAAGCAATTCTAGGGCGTGATACAAAGATATACAAATTGAAAAATTTAACGATACTTTTGAGTGATTTATATGCCTTTGGTGCATTGAACGTTCACGAAATTTTTTTTGTTCCATTATCAACCAACCTTTGGACATATTGCAGACGTTACTGCTTATGACTTCATCATCAATTAGTGCACGTAGGTACGGATCAATTAAATTAATTAATTCCTCACGTATGCTAAGCAGTTCTTTTCCTAAAGGTATTGTAATAATTTTAATATTTTTTTTATGAGTAAAGGGAGACACATCGAGTGAATTTTCGTAACGAATTTCTATATTAGATATCAGTAAATTTCGAATAACTTCCAAAACATCAGTTATAGTTCTACCTGGAGTTGCTGTTAAAGCTAATACCCTGAAATTTTTGTTTATTTCTACAACCGATTGTATTACTTCAACGTAAGCATATTTTCCTTTCGCTTTGTGGGCCTCGTCTACTACAATTAATTTTATATGTTTGAAAGGAAATTCTATATTTGCATCAGATAAATCTCGCTGGACGATTTGTGGCGTTGCGAAGAAAATTTTTTTATTATGCCATTCATTTCCCCTATTATTTCTAGTGACTTTGCTTGTCATTTCTGCGATATCTGTTTTTGGAATCCCCATAATTTTACAACAAGCATCAATTTGTTGGGTTACAAGTGGACGTGTTGGAGCCATAAAAATTATTTTACCGTTTGGATACCACCGATATATATTGTACATAACTACAGCTGCAATGAAAGTTTTACCAAGACCCGTCGGCAATACAACCAATGTGTTTTTGAACAATGAATTTTTTGAAATACTTAATTGATATTGCCTTATTGGTTTATTTATCGGATACACCCACGTTGCTCCCAAATTGCTATCAAATCCGCTATAGTTCTCATCATCTCTTAATCGATTATTTGGACCTACATAAGAATTTCTTATATATTTGAACGTATTCGTGTTTTGAAATGTTTGTAATATTTACCTTCATTTGAGTCAAATGAATTTCCCAGTGCTTGAATGACAGACACATCTTCAATAGAGCTCCAAGTTGAGTTATAAATATCATTTTTTAAATTTTTTGAATTATCCATTTTCCATAGACCTTAGTATAGAAAATCTAATTATTTATTTTTTATTCTTTGACGTTTGATTGTTCTGTTGACTTTTAACAGCGTTGTGTGAATTATGCGAAATGTCACATTACCGTTTTCTACATCATTAATTAGGCAATACGCACCCTGTAAATTTATAGTTAATTCTTATAAAATTTGTAATAGAGAAAAAGATCTTTGTTTGACATTTTAATATCTCAATTTGCAAATTCTCGTAATGAAGAGAAAAAAAATCACAAAATTTAACCGTTTGATAGCGCTCCTATTTATTGTATCATTTTGGTTACATTAGCGGTATGTACAGTTTTTTCGTACAATATAACATTTTTTTTTTTTTTTATCGTACAACCATTATTTATACAGTCGCCGCTCTATAGCTCGCTCTATAATTTGATCTATTTGTAAAAGAGGGCTTCATGCGCTTTGTGCAGCAAACCATTTTTGCAAGGAAAATTTGTAAATTTCAATTTTCTTATTGTTTTCAAAGAAGTAAATCAAAGACAATTTAAATGTATAATTCCTATTTCTTATGTTTTTTATTTAAAAATACAATATTTATGATCTAATTATTTAACTACGTTTGTGAATTTTTTTTTATATATACCCAAGTACTACCGCATTTTTGGCATATGTCCACAAAATTTGTGCCGCACTCAAACGGTTAAATTGAGGTGCATTAATTTGAATATCAGAAAATTCAAAGATTATACACGAAAACGAGTACAAACTTGCTCTTTGCTTAGAAACGGTAAATAAAACGAAATCGGTAGATTAAACGTCCATTCGACAAATTAATAAGGTTATGCTGAATAAGTACTCGAAGTAAATATCCTCGAATATTCGCCAAAATAATAATGGTTCGCGAACAATAAAATTCGCTAGAAAAAAATCGTTGCTATAGATTTCCAAAAAATGACATTTGTAGTTAATAGAAAGGTAAGCAAAGTTAATATTTCATGCAGAAAGAAATGTCATGCCATTAAAAAATCGCTAAGTCCTCGAGATAAAACCCTTTTGGTTAAAGAAATTTATATCTTAACTCGACTTGTCGTTTGAGGAGGAAAAAACATGTATGGAAACAAAAAGTGAATCAGACAAACTATTTTTAATACAATTGACCTGTTTTTTAAAAAAAGGTAACAAAGTTTAAAAAAAAACAACAAAATATAATAACGAAAGCGAAAAATTCAATATTGTGACAAAAATGAATGAAGTAAAATCTGATTTTTGTGATAAAAATAATAAAAGTTGATATATCACTTCAATTCGTATTTTTAACTACTGACTAGCATTTTTAACTAGAAAGAGTTCATTGAAGAATGTAAACTTGTATTATAACTAAATTCAGTATAGATTTTTATTCAAAAAACAGTGAAATCTATCAAAAATTTTTTTTTTAAATTTTAATGTATCAGGAAGAAAGTCGCAAGCCGAATAAAAATGGTCCAAATTTATATCATGTCGCAACTCGAAATGTCGTATTAGAAGATACCACATCTTGAGAACTTAGTGTAATTATTTTTTTTAACGCAGCTTACCTTAAATTCTTGGAGCGGAAGATTGTTGTCACACAGAGAGCGTGGCTCGCAATGCTGTAGCGTCTCGACATTCACCCAACCAGAACAACAAGGACTTCAACGCATTCTCTTAGAATTTTGGAAGCCACTACTTCAGATGACAAGATTCCAAGAACTGACTAACATACTAAAGATCCTGCTCTTCTTTAGATTCCTTTTAAATATCAATAATAACAGTAATAATTATTTGGCTTTTTTAAATTTATGAACGTTTATTTACTTATGTTACAAATTTAAATTCAAGACGTATATTTGAAGAATCTACGATATATGGAGTCTGGTGACTCTTTAGATGTCAGACTGAAATTATTTAATTGCGCTCAGACTTTAAATCAAAACTTAACAATTTGCTACAAAAATTAACCAAAATAAAAATCAGCTGATCACTGTGCCAAACTTCCAAAAAAAATTACTTTTAAAACATTCGACAGTAAATTTTATGGCAGTAAAGCCATATTATGGCAATAATGTTATTTACCTTCAGACAAAATCTAATTTAGTAGACAAGTAAATTAATAAATCAGTTTAATCGTAAATTTTGTATATGTATGTTAACCTAAACAGTTAAGAATTTGGATCAGCGATTAGCTGATTTTTATTTGGGTTGTAACAGCAACTATTTTATAGAAATTACAAAATTAAATTACAAAATACATATATGAAAATATTCAAGTAGGTAGGTACAAAAATCAAATATAATTATAACTTCTGACTTGAACCAGTATTCTCTTTAAGAAACAGAAAAATAGAAATTTTCCTTAAATTTAATAAAAAGTGTTTTTATGTGTGCGTATATTTATGAAAAATATAAACACGAATACAAATATTTTTGCTAGAAATACACATCACCACATACTCATAATAAGTATATATGTAATTCAAAAATTTTACAAAAATTTGAAAATTTTCAAAATCTTGAAATCATATTACTCAGTTCATATGATTTAATTTTCAAATTTTTTTTTTCAAAACGACACCAATCTTTATTATTAAAAGTACTGACTGTGTTAAAATGTGCATATTTTGTCATAGTAGACCCTCACACATAGATATTTGTTTTTTTTTTTATAAACAAAATAAATTATTTACAAATCGAAAAGATTTTTTAGTTAAAGTAACTGCTGCTTTAAAAAAATATAGAGGCGTTAACGTAATGTTCGAATTCAAGGGTTGATTGCGCCATTTATTGTTAGCTTTTACTCAAAGAAATTTGAAAAAAAACTTGCAGATACGGAAATATGTATATGCTGCCAAAAATTGGACTTTTACAAATTTGGAGAGGACAAAACTTGCGAATTGGATTTGGAAAAAAATTTTGTTAATACCTAAAAGCTAGAAATTTAACCTATTTTATAGAAGAAAACTGATATCAAAAACCTGAAAAGGAAGGGGTTCAGGTAAAGGTTAATTCTAGCAGACTTTTTTTTAGATATTCAGTTATGCTGTGCCGCTGCAAAAAATGCAAGTCGTAACTCTTGTATGTTTATATTTTCTTTAAAATGGCTCTTTGAGGAGAAATAGGAAAAGATAGCTTTTCTTTTTCTTAAATTTCAGCCTTCTTCCTCTAAAAAGTTTTACAAACGGGTACACGGACAGAGGGAAACTATAAGCACTTATTTTCAAAATTTTTGAATAGTCCTAAAAAAATAGAAGACAAAACGATCAACTTCATCAGCATCATTTCTAAAATTATTTAAATATTTTTTTTTAAAATATTAAAATTTTAATTTTTTTTGTGTTTGTTGTTTTTATGTTTATTTTGTGCTTAAAAAAAATTCTGTTAATTCAGTTTTTGAAAAATTTGATTTCGGTAAACGTTAAAAAAATGTTTCAGTTCAGTATCTCTTACTTATTTCTAGTTGTACATAATTTTCTAAATAAAATACATACGTACATACATACATAGCTAATTTTTGACATAGTTTTTAAAACACTAGTAGTTCTACTAATATCCCGTACCTTTAAAATAATTGTAATTAAGATGTAAAATAAACAAATCAGAATAAATACTTTACTTTTAATACTGCCTATTTAAAATTATTTAACAAAAGAAAACTTAAAAAAAAATTAAAATTACCGTTCTCTTTGAATTGCTTGCGACGAGTAATTATTAAAATTTTGCCAGTTATTTTTACTATGAACATAATTTATGATTGCTCTATCACAAATATTCGTAGTAGAATTTTACTAATTCAGAATTGAAAATATGAAATTCGAAATTTTCCGAATTTCGGAGCTACGTACATAATTCATGATAGCGCTGTAAATTTTACTTTACAAAACTTAAAAAAGCTTTGAACATTGAGAAAATAAAAACGACATAATTTTCATTAATTTTTGATCCAAACGTATTGCCCCAGACCTTTTGCATGCAAAAACTTTATAAAGTTTTTAATTTTCCGGACAGACCTTAATTTTTCTAAGTTTTTAATTATACCGGACAGACCTTAATTTTTTTAAGTTTTTAATTATACCGGACAGACCTTATATACGTACATATCTAACTCACAGCTTTACACCATCTAAAGATAATTCATTTCTAAGTTATATAAAATTTTTTTTTTGTATTTAGGTAGGTAAGTATTTATTTATATAATTTTCTCAAACTAAATAATATTGTTTAATTTATATAATTTGAAAGGCTTTCCAGTCAGAAATGTAATTTATTAAGTCTAACATTTTTCGTATAACTGCTACCTGTCAAAATCAACATTTAGAAACTTTAAGAAATCCATTTCGTCATCCGGAATTTCACCTATTTCATCAGTTTCCGGTTTCAATGATGGTTCATGACTGACACTAAATATTATTGGAGACATTTTTTCGTCAGTACATCCTTCCGAAATAATTTTAGTCCCACTAAGACAATTGTTTTCATGTAGAACGGAATTTATGTCACATCCGCAAACGCGACACAAGGAGATCTCTTTAATATTATGTAATTTTTCCATATGGGCTAATAAATTCTCGTTTGAACTCAAATGTGTATTACAAAATTTGCATAAATATTTATCATTCTTAATTGGTTCTTCAATGTCAGAATAGAAATCTTCTGATGGAAAATTATCTTGTTCAATCAGCGCACTATCGCCTTGTACAGACGTAATTTCTTTATCTGTTGAAAAATTTTGTTGATGTTTTTTATACACGTGCTGTTGTAAATACGATTTTGAATAAAAATAATAATGACAGTATGGGCATGTATGATGTCGAGGATCACTTAAGTGAATTCTTTTTACGTGTGTTGTATAATCTAAAAAATATGGAAATTATATACCGAAAACTAATTTGAAAACAAAAAAAAATTTAACTTCACTTTTTTTGTTTGAAAAATGTCTTTGACAAAATTGGCAACTAAAAGGCTTTTTGGGATCTTTCGAATTATGAATTAGTTCATAATGCTCATTAAGTTCACTTTGTCGAAAAAAAATGTCAAAACACCCAGATATTTCACATTCATAAATAGGAACATCATTGTGACTTTTCATATGCTGATATTTGTGTGTTATCGGTACAACTCTTCCACATTCGCAATGCCAAGGATTGCTGATAAAATCAATCGGTCGTGAATCTTTATTGATCTTCCTCATAATAGATGGACTTCTTGCACGCTTATTATTCAACTCTTCGCTTTCTTTAAGTTGCATATTTAGACTTGATGAATCATCTTCAAATTTAATAGCAGATACCGGAATGACAAAGTAATTTTCTTCGTTGTTTAAATTCTCATTTGGGATTTCATTCTTTGCATGTACTTCCGTATCTGGTATTTTAGAATCGGTAGAAAGTTTTCTGATTTTATCATTTATAGATGATAAATTTATAGTTTCTTTGTCACACACTTCAACTAGATTATTTGTTTGAAAATCATGCACATCCTTAATATGATCACAAAAATTTGATATTGTTTGCAAGCTCTTATGACAAAGTTCACAAATATACACCAATGAAGTTGAACTTTCGTTATAGAGTATTTCTCCGAATCTAGAAAAAGTTAGGTACATAAACGTATTATGAAAATTTTAATTACATAAAATAATTATTAAAATATGAACTTTATGAGTCCGGAACTGCTTTTTATTCCTTTTTCATCGTATTTATTCCCGAATTGACCCCATTCCTCTAAGGAATCAAATAAATTGTAATAATCAGAACACAAAAGATCCATATCCATGTTTTTCAAATATTTAAGAATTGTAGCACCGTGGACTTCAATTGAAATTCTGGACATTTAAGAACTCTTCCTCACTTTGATAATGTAAATATGTCAAATCATATTTCTCATCTGCTAACCAGGGTTACCACTGTCAAGAATTGTTTGAGCCGTTGTATATCAACGTTACCATATTGACTTCACAGAAAATCTGACAAAATTTTGCCACAAAGTCTGAAAAATTTAATAAAAATAACCAACTGTTAAATTTAATTTAAACAGATTTTTATTGTTTGTAACTTGTATTTATCAAAAACTATTTTTATTATAGTTTATTCAAGTTATTTTTAAAAATATAATTTTTGTGCAAAATTTTCCAGATAACTTCTTTTTGTAGATTTTTGAATTGAATTTATAGCAAATACGGGAATATATACTCTTTCTGATGATATTGGCACAAGATTGCTTTTAAAATGGATCGTCACTTGTATGTATATGTATATTATAAAATCAACCTTACTTTACAAACAATGTCAACATGTAAAAATTAGTATTCTGTTAATTAAGAAGATAGTTGCTGTATATTTTATTTCACAATAATACACCAGCTTCACCTGGTTGTTAGTATCAACATAGACAGCGGCTGCCTTTCTGACTAATTGGATACAGTTAGGTAAAATTATCAAATATATCCATAGGTAAAGGTCAAATTATCTTCATTTATCATCACACAATATTTCAAAATATTTTAACAAGAAATAAATTTCCTAGATTTAAATAACAAGCAAGGAAATTAACCTTGCACATTCCATAATATTTAACGAATGAATTACTTTTTATATTCTAAATAAATACTTATTTTACTTTTCTAAGCATCCAGCGTTATATCCAGCGCTACCAAAAGTGTTTATCTTCAATATTTTTTGGTCATATATTTTGTGCTAAATTTTAAAATAAAATTTTCACAATTTTTAAATTTTACATACAAAAATATCTTCAAAAATAAGGTTTTTTAATGCTACTGAAGTTTTTCAGAATTAGAAATTTTTACACTATTTTCCATATTTTCCATGAAAAAACATTTTGACAAAAAAGTCAAATTTAATAGACAACACTTGGTGACATTACTTCCATGACAGAAATTTTTTTAAGATACTTTAAATAATAGAAAATTTTAAGATTTGAAGGATTAGTAATTTTTAATTTTTGTTAAAATTGGCAGTACTGAGTTTTAAATAAGTTAAAATGTCAACAGAAAAGTAATTGTGCAGCTGATTGGATTGTTTTTTGCTCTTAACAAAAAAATTTCATGAAAGCGGGCAAATAAATAAGGAATAGTTTATAAGCATGTCTTCAAATTTTAAATATACGTTGTTTAAAAGTGTAAAACCATATGTAAGATTTGTTCCTCAATTGAGTAAACCCGTGTTAAGAGTTTTAATTCAAGTTTGCGTACATTATATAGAATCAAGTAGGTATTACAAACAATGGAGTCAAGTTTTTTAATGAAATCAAGATACAATATTTACTGTGTTTTGAAGGAAAATGCTCTCCAGAAATTTTAGATTTAGCTTTAACTAAATTAACCCATAATGGTAACGAAATTCCCGAAAATTTTTGCGAGCTATTTGCTGCCATATTGCAAATAATGCAAATATTCTTAAGAACACCGAAAGGAAGTGTGAAAGATGAGGAATTACGTGAAGGTTTGCGAGAACTCAAGTAAGAACTTTCATAATCAAATTAAAAAAAATAATGTAAAAATATTTCGATAAAAGGTTTACTGAAGAATGTATTGATGATATCAGCAAGGTAATCCCAATATCATCAATATTAGTTGAGATCTTGTTTTTTTATCACCTGTATTTGTAGGTTTTACATAATCATAGGGAATCACTGACCAAAAATTTTGTTGAAGTAAAATGTCTAAGATCTTCACCTAAGAGATTCCAATGGAAAATTAATATATCCTTGATAGACAGGTAAAAGTATAAATTTTATTTTTGTACAAGGGTGCACGTATTATGTATGTAAGCATCTTACATATGTACATACATATCAAATCACAAACTTTAAACCAAAGTTTTAAAAATTCAGCTTGATTTTTCACAAATGAAAGAAAACGAATAATTAATTGGAGATTAAAACTTTTGTAGTTAAAATAGATTTTTAATCTAGATTCCAATTCATTAGCGTTAATTTTAAAAATTATCATAATATAGAGTATAACTTCTTTATTAAATAAGTAAATTTTGAATTTGGAAATGTTTAATTTAGTTGCGGCGGCTAAAGGTAAAGCTATAGTTTTTGTTTGAAATACTGAACAAAAGTTGTGGAACTATTCAACAGATTCTTCTATAAACAAATCTTTGGGGAGATGGAAAACCATGGTATAATAAATAACCATATTTAAATTTTCGTAAGATCTTTAACAGAACCTAATTTGAGAGATGAAAAACCCAACTGGTCGATATAATTCATTTCCAATAACGATCTGATGAAATAAATTAAGTCATGTTCTGAAACTACTGCTCTCAATTAAAATAAATACTTACATGTGTAACTACATATACAGTTTAGAAGAAAAATTAACTAGCTATTAACATTTTTGTTACTCTTATAACCTTCAAAACATCAAAGGGTTTTGTTTTATATTTTAAGTGAAACTAATTTAAAATTAAAGCCTAGTAAAAGTACATAAAAGAAAAATTGAAAAACTAAATTTATTCGATTAAGCGATAAATGTTATACTTATGTATATAATGCTATTACGAGTATCCTAGATTGCAATAAAAAAAGCACTGAAAGTTAAAGAGAACAAAAAAATATTTCCAATTGACTGATTTAGTTTCTTTGCAAAATTGTTACCGCGAATAATAAACACTTATTAATTATCTTTGAATAAATTAAAAATTTTTTCAAACTAGTAATATTTTGCTATAAAAATTGTAATGCGCTATGAAATATTTTCCATTTTTGTCCTTATTGTGTTTCCATCAAAATGTACGTAATGTATTTTATCATCATGAACGATTTTCATATATGCAATATATAATTTAAAAATTTAGATTATTTTAATTGTAAAACATCTTGTATGTATGATACAGTATTTTTTTTATTTTAGTGGAATATCTCACCTAAATCAACCAACTGTAATTATACATTTTCAAACGGTTAATGATGAAATCAAAACATTTGAGTTGCCTCTTTCAATGTTTCATCGTTTAAGATATAATGTAGCACTCTTGTTGAAAGAACTTCAGTCTTGGGAATCGATCAATAACAAATCTTTAACTAGAAAAAATTAAAGTTGGTTTTTTCAAGAATAACATGCCAAACATGAGGATAGATGTGCTAAAATAGATATTATAAATTGTTGTTTCCAAAGTTTTCATAGTCTAGATTTTTAGTGTTGATTATTCCAATATTGACAAACAAGTTGTAAAAATCCAATAGAATAATTTACGCGCTTATATGGACAAAAAGTGTTGTCGAATCCCTGCAACGTATTAAAAGAAGACATTAATTTTAAATTTTCGTTTTTATTATAGATTATTTTTATTTATCTTTAATATTATTCTCTTGTAGAAATAAAAAATACTTGTTCAAAAATACTATAAGAGCAATAAGTGCTTTGAAAGTTCAAACGAAAGAGTGACAGGAACAAAACAAAATTTCGAAAAATAGTTTCTTTTAAATTGATTAGTAAAGCAATATTTTATATATATATCTAGTTTTATGCAGATTTTTTTGAAAATTTAACTATTTTACTAAACAAGCTTGTTGCAAATAAACAAGAACAATGGTTGCAGCTTGTATTTTTTACTTAAATATTTTGTATTACTTACGTATATAAATACATATTTATTTTAAAAATTTCCTATGTTTACTTTTTAAAGGTGTTTAAAATCTTTACTATATATCTTACATAGCATGTACATAAGTAAGAAACTATTTTATTAGATAAAAAAAGTAATTAAATTATTATTTGTAAATATTAAATAAACAAAAATGATTATGTATACATATATAATATGTTATATTCAAATTAAAAATGTGCCAGAATAAAATTTTTAACTGTATGGTATTTATACAAAATACATTATATAAATAAAATTTCTAATAAATAAAATCGCATGTGGTTTTTTTTTCCCCTTAACTTGCTAAATTTTACTTCCAATTTCATCATAGTGATAAGTTCCGTCCATTTCTCTTAATCGTTGTGCTGCCTGTTCCGCAGTTAAATCTCTTTGACCTTGGCAAAGTAATTCAAAACCCACCATAAATTTCCGTACAGTGGCTGATCTAAGTAATGGTGGGTAATATATTGCGTGCAAAGTCCAGTGTTTCGTGTTTTCTTCGGTATATTTATCAAAAGTTGGTGCTCCATGCCACCCCATTGAGTATGGAAATGAACATTGAAACAAATTATCATACTTTGTGGTTAATTCTTTAATCGTTAACGCTAAGTTCTCAATTTGTGTCTTAGTAAGATCATCTATACGTTTATTTTTGTTACGTGAAATCAACATAGTTTCAAAAGGCCAAGTAGCCCAGTATGGTACTACCACAAGCCAGTCTGGGTTTAAAACAACAATTCTTTCTTTTTTCTGCAATTCTTTTTCAACATAATCATCTAACATAGGTCTTCCATGAACTTCATAATATTGCCTTAAATTGGAGTCCTTAATTTGCGGGTTTCTAGGAAAAAAAGAACTGGACCAAATTTGACAATGCGGATGCGGATTTGAACATCCCATTGATGCTCCTTTATTTTCAAATATTTGCACCCAAACATATTTCGTTTTCAATTCATTAAATTGATTAATCCACCTGTGGCAAAAATTAACTAAATTTTTATATATATATTTTAACGGAAACTTTTAAAATTTACTCTGTAATAACATTCTGTATTTCTTTTGGAGTCATAATAGGTAATGTTTTATTTGATTTCGGATGAAAACACATTACGCGGCATTGACCACGAGCTGGTGCAATTTTAAATAGGGGATCATCGCTTTCGGGTGGCTCTAGAAAAGTTCAAAATTAGATTACATTAAGGAGGTAATTAAAAAAAAGTAAAAACCTGGAACTTCTTCCAACAGTGCAGGAAAATCATTTGGAAACACAAAAGTAGAAGTATAGACCGGATTTTTCTGTAAAAAATAATGTTCAATATATATATATTATGTAAGTATACGTATCTATTTATATACATATACATATGTTTATCTACATAATATATATATTTTTGTCATAGCAAGGTATACATTATAATGATAAAATAGGCTTATTTAAATATTATTACAACATGGTACATATTAAATACATTACAATGATAGACTTCCCTGATAAAATTTTATATAATAATTATAGAATACTTAATAGATAAAACGTAATATACATATTGTAAGAACTACATAAATACATATAAGCTAAACGCAAAAAAATTATGTTCTTTACTTCACCATTGCCTCTGGTAACTCCTGGGCATAATGGGTTTGTTGGGTCAAATTCTGGCAGGTTGTTTTTCTGGGGAAGCTCTTGTTGACCTGACCATGGTCTCTTCATTCGATGTGGACAAACCAGAACCCATTCCCCAGTCAACGGATTATACCTTTGATGTTGATGTTCTTAAAGAAAATGAATATTACAAATTACATATTATTTACATACATATATGCACATAGTTAATAATCAAATACGTATATTTATGTACATGTACAGGTATATAACTTGAATTTAATACTAAAAATTTTATAACAGACAAAATTACTGCGAAATAAGACACGAAATTCAAAAGAAGTGACTATAACATGTTGCGCTTACCAGTTGGTATGAATGCAGTCATTCTAAAAGCACCCAAAATAAAAATCAATCACTTTAAAATTTTTTTTCAGAACTTAAAACTACGACTTCCTAGTATATCACCTCTTTCCAAATGTTATCACTATACACAATGATTTCTTGTAAGGGAATAATTGCATAAAATATCTAATGTTGCTACTTAAATACAGTTTCAACCATCAAAGGTCGCATTAATCGATCGTGAACGTCAAATGCAATCTAAAATATAAAAGGCTTTTAAGTTTGTATATTATCACAAAAGCTTTACTCTAGATGAGCAGTTTTTAGGTTGTGTGCTATGTACATAGTTACATAACATGAAATAATATATACATGTATGTTTATGTATACATTAATATATTTTTACGTACATATGTGTTCTGAATCATATGTATATTATGATAATGTATGTATGTATATTAACATACCAATATCTATACTAATGTTTGAAAACATATTCATAATAAAAAATATTATTATAATATTGGCATAAGTATGTTCATATGTAAATGCAATTGTAGTAAATTAGATAACGAAGTGGTAAAAAGCTATGATTTTTTGTTATATGTAGGTTTTTGCAAATTTTGAGTTCGTTTAGCGCTTTTACATTCAGTTTCCATATTTTTTACATAATACTTTACATCAATAAATTTGAAACGAACGTTGTGAAAATATATGTACGTAAGTATGTATATTAATATTATATAACGTGTATTAATATGTACTTGCATATATGGAAATATAAGGTGCCCACAATTCACGTTAAACGTCCATATTTCATAATTCACGCAATTGTCATAACTCTAAATAAAGTATAATGTATGCACATACTTACATATTTTAGGCGTTTTTAATAATTGAACGTTTAAATGAAAATTCATTATAATTGACCTACACGTTACAATAGATCTGTTTGGTATAAGACAGTTTTCAAAAACTTTTTAAAATTTGAAAAAATTTCTGGTATAATACTTGTACTAAAATTATGACGTTTTCTCAATGCTAAATTTTTTTTTAAGTTTTATACCAGACCTAGGCATGCAGTTTGTAACGAAAAACAATTGAACAAAACAAAACAAACTATAATAATTGTCAGCAGTTTTTTTATTGTCGAAGCGATCGTGTAACATTTTTTTACGTTGCTCTTTCAACAATAAATGTATAAGAAACGGATTGCGTACATATTTAAAAATATGATACATATGGATTGAAGCTCAATTTTTATATACATATATAGACCTAAAAAATTGTAAAAATACATCTTTACATAATAAATACCCTCCAAAACTGGATTAGAACTTTCGTTCCCTGAATTATGAATCCAATACACAATAGAAATTTTCAATAAACAGTAACAACCAAGAAGTAAAAAACAAATTATTAGTAAAGTCTACTTGAACATCGACATAATTTTTACAGCTTTATAATTGTCTATTTTTCAATCGGTTAGTTAACGCATCTCAACTTACAGTAAACTTTACAAAATCGAATGCGTGAGACATTGTTGTTTAGCATAAAATTCTGCCTTGAATTAACCATGTCCACCTGTCTGTCCAAAATTTTTTAGTGAAATGGCTATTCTGATCCAGATATCTACATATATATATGTATATATATATATATATATATATATATATATATATATATATATATATATGTATATATATATTATATTTATTTATTACCATGTTTGGTGTCTTTATACATGTAAGAAATTTCAATACAGCTTCACAATAAGAAAAAACTACGTAATTCGAAATTTTTAACATTTTTAGCTTATTGGGTAATATACTTACCAACAAGTGAAGAATATTATTATCAAAGAAAATAGACAAAACGTATAAATAAATATGATATTGGTGTATGTTTGTATTTAGTATTTACAATAAAAATTTACTTATAGATTTCTGAATGTACCTGTATCTACATATAAGTGTTCATGTGTTTTGAAACTGGTGTAATTATTTTAATTGTGTTATGTGTAACATGCATTTACTATGTGCTCATTGCAATATTATACGTAGTACTTGATGTATGTAAATAATTATGTTACCGTATGATACTAATACTCTACATTAAAAAAATTTTTCAAAAAATTTGTTCATTGAAAATGTCGATAATCTTTCCGAAATATAAAATTTTTCTTACGTACATACATATATGAAAAGAAAACTCCCTCTTATTCGGAATAAATTACTTTTATTTTTGCTAATAATAAAACTACGCTACATACGCACTTTATCAAAATCAGTTTTGATGAAATTGCAGTTTAAGAAAAATAAGCTTTCAAAGATTTTAAAAATTTCATCTTTGAAGATTCTCATCGTCCTTGGAATATACATGTATTGGCTAAAATTACTACACCAAAAATTTATTGTCTCATAATATGTTATGACATCATACTGTTACGGAGACTGTTATCTGGAACCAGCTCTTTATTATAGTCCTCATTGTCCTCATATTCTGCATTGCTTGTAAAAGTAAATTGTAATTTTTAAAAACCGCAACCCAGAAAACAAAATATATAACTTTAAAATTTAACTAAAAATATAAAAAAAAATAAAAAATTAATTTATTTATAACGGTTAATATACTTTATATGCTATTGAAATTTGTAACTTGAAAAAATTGGAAAAATTAAATTTTTTTAATATATAAGTCTTATTCAGAATAAGAATAAGTAATTCAAATTTATATTATTTTAAACATTTCAATATTAATAAAAATTAATTGATCGTGGTTTATGAAAGGAACAGTTTTAATAAAATACCATTTTCTTAAAATGGAGAAAAAACATTAGAGCTTGAAATTGGACTGACATAAGCTTCAATAATTAAATCTGTAATTCCAGTCGTCAAATACAAGTACATAATCAAATACAAACAGTTATCAGACTTTGAAAATCTTCCAAAACTTTTTAAAACTACGTAAAAATATTTTATCAGTTTTCTCCTTTCATTAATAATCGGGAGCAACTTTCAGAATTTTAAAATTGCTTTCCAGAAAATTTCAGCTCTTTTTGAAGCTAATTCAATAAGTTCCGTCTGACAACATGATGTGCCTACAAGTTTTTTAAAATGAGTTGCCAGAAAGTGGACCTTTACTACTCGCCAATTTTAAATTTATGCCAATAAATAAAGAAGGAGTCAATAAATTTCATTAAAATTTTATATTCAAACTCTAGATTTAAAAAAAAAAACAACTAGTAAATTTTTTAGAGGTGTCGGTGCTAATTTTATATTTATTTTTGCTAATATATTTCGAGCGCATACGCACTTTATCACTGTGATTTTTAATGAAATAACGAAATTCGTTGAAATTCGTTATTTCATTTCTATTTCTAAAAATTTATTTTTAAAAATCGTGCGCTAGGTTAATTCGAATAAATTTGTAGGAAATTATAAACATTTTTCAGAAATACACAATAGAATCGATTAAGGGCTAGCTACATAACTCCTTTTTTGTTAACGAATATGTACATACATATATACAGGATTTAAAAAATCCATTCGAAAGTTTACATGTACTGTTTGATTTTATTCTAATTGAAAAATAAATATTTAATTTGTTACTTTAGATTTCAAAATTTCTACATTTTGTTATGTTATAAAATTTTCAACTTGAACACTATAACACAATACTGTAACAAAAAAAAGAAAAATTTTAAGATATTTTTAACTTTTGATTGATAACTTTTGAGTTAATTGTTCTATTATTAAAAAGGTATCAACCAACTTCTATTAAAAAACAAAATATTGTTTCCGGTTAACATTAACGTTTTCTAACTTTAAGGTAAAAAAAATAGAAATAATACTACAAAAAAGATGAATTTATTAGCAAATATTTCGTTACATATTTAATTTTAATATAATATAATACAGAATGTAATTTTACTGATATTATAATGTTTAAAGTTTTTTTTTCTTATAATATAATACACAATAATAATATACAATACATATTCTAATTGTAACAGATTTAATTTATACATAAGTACATTTTAGAAAACAATAAATGAAACGATTATTTTTTTCTATTTACAGTGTTCTATAATTACTTACTGTTTATGGTGCAAGGATATTCAGATCGCGCCAGTAATTAAAATTATGACCTTTCATATTACATGGTATTCATAAATTTATTTTTAAATTGATTATAATTGGAGATTTTCAATAATTCAGGTATGTACTTAAAGTTCTAACTTATATCTTAAAAATCTTTATTTGCATTATTACAGATCTGCGAGAACTAACTAGTTCACTATTTCAGATTGGTAGTACATTAAATTTTTATTGGATTTTTTTTAAACTCAAAACGTTTTTGCTCGATTTTTAAAAGTGATTTTTTGGAAAGTAAAGATTTATCGAGTACTCTACGTTTTCTAAGTTAAAACTGAATTATCGAAAATGCTCATTATTATTTATTTTAATATATGTATGTACCTTTCTGAGATATACATATAAACATACATATTTTACTGTTTTGATTTTGCAGGCAACACATAATTAAAAGAATAATATATACAAAAACTTATTATAATAAATTTTTTGAATATGTATTCTTAAATTTTGATAAAAGTAGTATAAACATACATACATACATAGGTTTAAATTATAAACATTTTATTTTACAAAAAAAATTTAATATATGTACATACAAATAATATATATATTTTGATTTAACTTGTAATTTTTTTTTAAATTATTGGGTAATAATCACAAATTGAATAAATTTTTACTAATATTATAAAATATATCGTAGCATTTTAGCTATTAATTGTAAATTATTGTTTTTATAATAAAAAATTGCACAAAAACATGGAAAGAAACACAAGAACAAAAATTTAATTTTTGTATTCAAGATATACATATCATAATTGTATTAGAAAGTAAAACTTGAATTTGTCGGTTGTTAATATATTTTTTTTGATTAGGCACAGTTCGAATTTTTGTTATCATTATAATCCGATAATTGAAAGAGGTCCGAATTTCAAATGTATAGTTCTAAAAATAAAAAAACACTATTGTAGACATAATGTTTGAATCATAAATATATTTTAATTTTTTATTCATTTACCTACCTATTTTAAAATAAATTTCATTAACACATTTATGACTTTATTATTATGCCATTAGTCAAGTATAAAGAAGGAATAAAATTATAAATGTCCATTTAATAAATCATGATTACTTCTTAAATAAACTGGGCTCGTAAAAGATTTTCCATTAACTAAATTTTCTAGACCTTCTCCAGCATAACTAACAAATGGTGATATTTCGCTTATATCACCATGTACAATGCCGCCAGCAGCTTCAATATATTTCTTATGCAATCTAAACAAATCATTTTTAGCAGTTGTAGGGCAATCTTTTCCAGCGCTTTCAGGATTTTTAAGAGCGCTAAATTCCTCATCTCTTGGGACCTCCATGGCAACAAATTTTTGCGCAAATTCAAAAACGTCAAATACAAACTTTTCAATTTTTATACCATTTGGTTTTTCGGGAAGGCAGAGTTTTCCTGAATTATCAACAAATGGAATCTTTTTTTTCGCAACGTGCAACTTTAACTCTTTTTCATATTTTGTTGCAATTTTATTGAGAAAAGATGCCGCAAAGAAATGGTTACAAATGTTACCAGCATTAAATGTTAATCTACCATCAGAGCGACGTAATTCAGATGTTTTAGCTGATATTTCACTATATTCTACAACTTGATATTTTCCATCGACACTGCAAACAACACCAACTGCTTCGGATGGGCTGGACTTTTCAACAACTTTTGCGGCACAATCTGAATTTTCTAAAACACAGTATCCAATAAATAATGGATCAGCTACTTTTATTAGAATATTATCAACACTATGCGCATGTAAATATAAAACACCACGACGATTAATATCATCCAAAACGCCTTGATCGCGTAATGCTCGATATATTCCTCCATTACCATCTGGAGCACGTGCAATACGATGTTTTTTATCTAATATTATTCTACCATCAAATTCAAAACATGGCAATGAACCCTGGCTAAACATAACAATATTTTCTTTATTCATTTTAAAGAAATTATTTGCTTTGAAATAATCCATTGTCGGTTTAATTGTATGTTCTGAAGTCATAATATACCATATTATATTACCATGTGTACCAGTTAACTCATATGCTAATTGTTCAAGTTTTAAAATACGTTCAGCTTGAATTCTAAAAAGTGATTTATGCGAAGGTAATCCAACATCATACATTCCTTTAGGATATGTCACACCCAAACGAGTTCCTAAAAGAAAAAATAAAAATTGTAAAAGACGTGATTAGAAATTAAATTTATCTTATGCTTGCAATTATTATAGTCATCTTTATAAATTTTTAATTTAAAAATATTCTTGAGCTTCTATAGAATTAAGTAATTATTACTTTAAATAATTATGTTTTAAAATTTATAAATAGTCGAAATTTTAAATTTTTAAGATTTCCGTACTCTTTGTTGATGAAATAGGTTCTAAAATTTTGAGTAAATTCGTATATTTACATGATTTAATATTAAATTGATTTTTTTTAATAAACTAATATGTATAATCGTACATAAATACAACATAATTTTTATTTTTCTATTTAAGAATTGAATATATATTAATGCTGTTTCTGGTAGTTAAGTTTGGCCTACCACAAGTAAAAAAAATATAGCATGGCAAAAGTATTTTTGAAGTGTTACAATCATTGGCTTGGCTAATAATAAAAAATTTTAAGCGTTATACAACTTCATTTCCAATTCATATTCAAGAAATTCACATTTACACCATTATAAAGTAAAATTTACAATTTCATAATAAGTCTTTTGAAATGTTTTTTATTAAAAAAATATCAGTTAACAGAAAAATTCTATTTTGAAAATTAAAAATTATTTGTTTTCAATTTTGTTATCATACCGTAAGTACGTATGTACATATATAAAAAATTTTATCTATATTATTTTCTTTTTAAAAGTTGTGAAAGAAAAGTACACACGCATATACATTATAAAGATATCAAATTGTTTTTTTCTTATCAAGTAATATAAGTATCATCTACATAATTTAATTATTGAACTATGTTCAATAAAAAAATTTCTTTTATTAATAAAAAATTATTTTATCAAAATTAAAACAATTATTTTATAAAAATGTTAAATGTTTTTTCTAACATATTCTGTACATAATTTTGTGAAAGAATCAATAGATATTTGCCAGTACATTCCTTTTATTACTAATAGTCAATATTTTGAAATTTTCTTTTTACAATAATATAAAATGTACATATTGCGTATACGACAATATTACACAAAATATTCTAAATGCAGAACCAAATTAAACTTAATTAACCCTTGAATACATAGCATATACAGATTTTTATATACAGTTTTCAATTTTGTTCTAAATGAAAAGTCAATATATAATGCTCCCGCTTTTTGGGTTAAAATATGAAAAGCAAAGTCGCAAATTGCACTTTTTGAATTTTTTCTAAATGTTTTGTAAAATAACTATAATGAAAATTTAATAAATATATCAATGAAAACAAAATAATTTCTAAATTTACAAAGAAAATCTAGTTTGCTGGAAAATTGTGAAACCTATAAACTTTTCACTAAAATATTTATTTTTGTTCTTTACAATTCCCATGAAAGGGTTAATATTTTGTAATCGTTCAAGAGATCTGTAAACTTTCTTTAGATAAAAAATTTGTTTGATTTTAGATTAAGATTGCCTTAATAACCGATTTCATCAGAAAAATAAAATTATATTAGTCACTTTTGTAATATTATCAATTTATAACATGAAAAAAATGATACAAAAATGGCCAAATGACTATTTACTAAAAATTACTTTGAGTGCTTAATAAGACATTATAATGAAGTGTTAGTAATTTGAAAAGATACGCATTGGATATACATATGTATCTATAAAGATTAATATTTATTTGGTTAAATTTACGATTTAAATTTAATTATTTTTCAAACATTGCATTGGCTAAAAATCCTGCACATTACTAAATTTAGACAATTGTAACCATAATTTACATAATGTTAAACAAACCAAATGTTTTCAATGTTATGTTGAAAATATATACGAGTACATACATACTTATATTATTATATGCCTTTGACTATTTACATCGATTATTTATACTTAGAAACTCTTGTATATTATTTCAAAAGAAACCGTTTTTAATCACTTTTATTTTTATTGAAGGAAATAATTACGTACATATATAATTTTCACAATTATATTGTGAACCCGGAAGTAACTCTCATATCATATATGTACATACAATAATATACTGCCCCATTTAATGATAATATTTGTCATAGTAATAAAAATTAGATATATCTTAGATAAAAATTTAAATGTTAATTATTATATTAAGAATTTCAAAAAATAAGGTTTAAGAATAGAAAATGCATGAATAATTTTGTATTTTTTAAACTTTTAATAAAAAATAGTAAATTAATGAAATTTGAAAATAAATAAATTATTGTAATAACAAAGTAAAATATGTTTTTCAAACATGTTTTCCTTTTGTAAATGATTTATTTTTTGAGATTTTTACCTCAAATCAAATCTCAATATTTCGAAAGAAACTCAAAAAAATTTAAAGAAAAATTAAATCCATAATAATTTTTATTAAATTAAATCTATTGTTTTTACTAGTTTTAATATTTTTATAATTCGAAATACAAAAACAGTTGTTTCAAAACTTTAAAAAAAAAGGTTTACTATCAAATGAAAATAGTTTATATTTACATTATTTACATACATATACTCGTATACAATTTTTTATAACATGTTAATGGAAGAGTATAACATATTATTCTCCTTTAGTATGAAAAGGGTATGAACTTTACTACCATTTACATAATATATGCATACATACATAAAAAAAATTGAACGAGATCAAATAATTGTGAATATTTGGATTCTTTTTTTTTTAATTCAGTAAAAATTCAATTGAATTTTTACGAAATTTAATAAAAAATGCCTAATTGTGTACAAAGAAATTCTATTAATTTATTATTTACCTAAGTCCTCGAGATGCGACATTTTTGTTTCCAGAAATTTATGTCGTAACTCGAATTGTTGTTTGAGGAGGAAAAAAAAAATGTATGGAAACAAAAAGCGAATTAGACAAACTATTATTTTATATTATAATTCAATTGTCTTTTAAGAAAAGTTAACAAAATTAAAAAAAAATAACAAAATAGAAACGAAACTAAAAAAATTCAAGTTTGTAACAAAAATAAATAAAATAAAATTTGAGTAAGTTGATATGTGTGTGTGTCGCTTAAATTCGTATTTTTAACTACTAGTGTTTTTAAGATCATTAAAACCTTTCAAAAAAAAATTTTTTTAAATGTCGTATCAGGAACAATGTCGTAACTCGAATAAAAATCATCAAAATTTATATCATGTTGTAACTCGAAATATCGTATTAGAAGATACCATGCCTCGAGGACTTAGAAACTTTGTTTATCTGTAATTTTTTTTTCAAATTAAAAAAATTTCCTTTTGATTCGTTTGGATTATTAAATTTTTATTTAATCTAATTGTTTTGTTTAAAATCAAAATTTTTTATTTTATTGCCTCTGTGCAGTGCTCGAAGTGAGGCGGGATGGAGTGGGATGCCATCCCAGTACTTTTAAATAATTGGAAATCCATCTCACTACTTAATGGGAGAGAAAAATGCGTTCCGGAACATGTTTTTTAAAATTTAAGAAAATTTTCTAATGAATTTTAAAAATTTTTTTAACGAAAAATTAAATATATGTATGTAATTTTAAATAAAGACCAATTTCAAATAGTAACGTATAATTTTTTTCTATTAATGAAATTTTCGTTACTACATAGTAGTCTATGCATTTCTTTGGTAACAATTTGCACAGTTTTTGAATCAATTTTTAGTTGATTTAATTTTGAATATAAATATTCTCGTTAGTTTACTTCCAAAGTTTGGTAAATTTTGTTTAGTTATTTTTTTAAAAAATAACTAAAATAATAAAATAACTAACTTTTTTTTTTTTACCATCCCACCACTTTGAGTATCCCACTTCGACCACTGCAGCTCTGTGCATAAATTTATTAAATTTTTGATAACTAATTATTAATTTTAGAACTATTTTCTAATATAATTTCAATTTGAATTAATAAAACAAACATCTAATTTTTTTTTTAAATGGGTAGATCTCGAGGTAGGAGAATCCAAAAAATCGATCTTTTGTACAAAAAAGTCGAGCAAGCCTGCTATAATTTTTTTTTTACTAAAACGACCGCTTGCTTCTGTTCTAAATATTCATGTATCTGTCTGAATTAAGCTACATATAAAAAAAAGTGCAACATATTTTTCCAAATTGATTGTGAAGTGAAAGGGATATTTTATAAAGATACAACAGAATGAATTTCAAACCTAGTCTATAAGAAAATTTATATTCCTACAACATAAATGTAAAACGAAAATTATAATAAGTGTATATGTACATAATAAAAAAAATAGGGTGTGTTAAAAAAATCACGAAAAAGAAAAAAAATCAAAAAATTCTTTTGCTTTACTTTGCAGAGTAATCATTGTTTTGTCTAAATTTCAAAATCATATAAGAATTTCCACTTTAAAATCAACTTTTAATTTCCAATTACCGCTTAATTTATTATGTTACCGTTACAATTTTTTTTTATTTTTACTATTTTTCTTTCATAATTTTTGTTATTAAATATTTTTGCTTTTAACAAAAGAAACAAGATTAAAAAAAAAAACTTGACTGACTAGGTTATAGGCCATTATGCCGTAACCGCGACTTTGCATTTTTTATGTATACATATGTATGCATTATGTATATATGCGACCACACATAAATATATGTATATGTAATATCCATAGTTAAGTGTTAAGTGTTATTATGATAAAAGAAACTTTTGGGATCTACCATTTGCATGAATGTTTGTTTACATGAACGTACATACCTACAAAAATTACGACATTTTTCTTTATGCTTTCGGTTTTTGTTTTTCTCTCACGTTAGGTGTATTGTTTGAAAAATTAAATTTTTACTATGTTATTGGTGTCACGTCTTACCAAAGTTCATATTACTATTAAGCAAAAATAACTAACAATCAATTGATTATGGTAAATTATTGAATACCAACAATTTATTTTCTAAAATTTTAACATTCTTTCATCAATATCAATTATATTTTAAAATAATGTTTGTTTTGTATAGACTTATGTATGTAAATTACATACATGCAAATCAAT